ATCGGCGTCTGTAACAAATTCTCACAACTTTCAATAACTTAACAAATACTGTTTAGACTGGCTTCAATTTTTTCAAAATCATCTACATGTTTTCAGAAGTTCAAATCTGACTTTATATTTAAGATTTGAAGTCAAAAAGGTTTTTTTCAACTTGCTTCAAATTGACAAAACGTTTTTCGAAATCATCTACAAGTTCTCAACAATTCAAATCTGACTATAGATTTGACCTTCAATGACATTCTCAAGGTCAAAAAATATTTGACCTTCAATGACATTCTCAAGGTCAAAATCATCTACAATTTCTCAGAAGTTCAAATCTGACTTTAGATTTGAGATTTCACCTTCAATGACCTTCTAAGGGTCAAAAAGGTCTTTTTCAACTTGCTTAAAATCGATCAATTTATTTTTCAAAATAAAAGTTCTCAGAAATTCAAATCTGATTGAACTCATAATATTGTGAGCAACTAGGTGGTGACATTTTGTTCTAAATACAATTTGACCGGAAATACAGTGCTCCTTTGAATCATTCTATTATGACTTACCCCTCATCCCACTACCGCTCCCCTCACTCCATCCATTAACGAAGGGTGATCGATAATTAAACAATATTTGATTCAAACGAAGGTAGCAGTAAATCACATTTATCTTTTGATCGATATTCGTGTTTTGGGACTTTGTGATCAGTAATTGAAAATGATTTTCATCATCGTATGGTAATATCTATTCAGTGAAACTTTGTAACAAGTGGCTGATTATAAAGGAGTATTTGAGTCAATAGAGGAGTTTTTAAATAACTTTGAAATTTCGCTAATTCTCGTTTCTCTTGAGATTTTAAGAGATCTTAAATTTCTATTTTTTCCTTATTTTTAATTGCACATTTGAATTCAGTGAAAGGTTTTCTACAATAATAACAATTATCTAGTTTTGGGATGTAATCATATTTCAGAGCCGGAATCTACGCAATTTTTTATGATAAATCACAGTGTACGTTTGTTAACAAGGGTTATCACATGATATATCAATCAAGTTTTAAACAGATTTAACTAACACTTTTTGATAAATCATGAAATAAAATTAAAGTCACTTTTCGAAGATCTTAATATGGAAGACAATGGAAGTCTGGCCCAAGATAAAATCTGAATAAAAGATGGCAGCACTGGTTTCCATTCATTATTTAGCAATTTAGAAACTATCATTGCAGCAAAACCCATAACAAACGGAGAGATTTGCCGACCAACAAAAAAACCACTTCAAAAAATCAAGATAACTGACTACGTATTCCACAATTCCGGGACTCATAACGTTTAGATTTAGTCTTCATCAAATAATTAAGGGCATAATCATAAAGATTAACCAATTCTTTGCTGAATGCCTTTTTGTATATTGTCAGATTGCTGACGAGTGTGAATGTGATCAATTTTAGCGTCTTAAATGTTCCGATAAGATTGTTGGTATGGCCTCTTTTGTAACCAGTGGTCGGCACCCGTTGGTCGGCATACTGCTATCGAGTGTAATAATTATAAGACATTTGTATTTGCAATAATTTTCCAGTGGTGACACTTTGTCATGTTAATGCTGCCTTGTACGTATTATGTTCGCAGTGTTCGGCAAAACGTAACCGTTGATTAATCGGAATTGATCGGATAAAGGTGTTTGCATTATCAACGAACTTGGCTTTTGAAAGTCAATTGATCATATCAATTACATCGATCCGAGACTTACTGATCTTTAATATGACACGGTGATGGGGACCTGGAAATTCCACTTGAGTAGCTACTCAAGCTGATTATAAAATGATATGAATATCCACTTTCGTTTATGTCATACTGTTTTTCATCGCGTCTAATCGGCGAAATTACATCCGTAGACGTAAGCCTAGATGGTCAATTAGATGATGCAATTTCAATCGAAATAAGATCAAAGAATCTTCGATCAATCAATGTCTCGGTATTTTTCCACGAAATTAGAGCCTGAAATGTTTATGTTTTAATTTAGGTGATAATACATGCAATCGCAATTCTTAAAGGAAATCTATTTTGTTCAAACTGTTCTGAATTATTACTTCCATACAAACAATTGCTTTATAACTAAAGATCCATTTTTACCATTTTTGTAGCTATCAGAGATTGGTTATCTTGCCTCAAAAGTGTTCAACATTAAGAGTGTGTCTTCTCTTGTCTTCTGTTTTCTGTTCAATGTTAATTAGAACACGCCTTGACCATGATCTTTCATTATCTCGAGAAATCTTTATCGATTATCCATCCCAGTTGTAATGAATTAACGGACAGAATTACAAAGTGGCCATTTTCTAGATTCCTTTGAATGAATGAGAGCACCTGGTTCCAGTCCATTCATCTGTAAATTGATGACGTCGGTATTTTTATTTTTTTTTGTTACTACGCATCTAAAACCGATGAAGCTCTGTGTCCGCAATTTTAGTTTTTATAAAACTTATAATTGAGCAACAATGATATTAAAGAAATGTATAGATTATATATGTAACAGTAATAATTGACCCTTTTCCATGTAAATGGAAAATAGATGGCATCATGTGTATATACAATATGGAAAAGGGACTATCGAATACATGTGAAGTCTAGTACCACTAATCATAGCAGAATGTCAGCTTCCAAAACGTTTGTCATATTCTGCGTATATTGCGTATATTTTGGCAACAATTTTCAACATTCTCATGACAACTGACCCATAGGCCTGCAAGCCTTGTTAAATTAAATGTTTGTTAAAGTGGTACGAACTGGTTATGATCTACCAAAGATCTCTTTAAGAACGTTATTCTAGGATATTTTATTTGGACAAAGCCATTTTTAAGTTTAATATAGAAAATTATTGTACTGATTAGACTTAGGTCAGAAAGGGTATTCATTAATACATGGCAGGGCAGTTTTAAACTAGAAGTCGGTAACTCCATTTAGCAACTCCCGACGAACAATATATTCATGAATCTGAAATGTAAAAATGTAATATTTACCATCTACTCGGTTAAAATTGCAGAAATTAAAACAACACTATATCAGAATTTCCATCAATTTAAGCATTCTGGTGACCATTTAGTAAACGGTACAAATCATCAAGACAATACAATATTTTAGATCTAATGAAGTAATAATCAAACTATGGGGAATATAATAGTAGAAATCTCGCCATCTTTAAAAGGCTGCCAAAATACATCTTCCCATCAAATATGAAGAAAATCTGTCCACTAGTATTCGAGTTATTTTTCGGATGGACGTACTGACGGACGAACTGGCGGGCGGATTGACTGACGGGGGACTTTGCTATATCCCAATGGAATTGTGTTCGTTGGAATGATGAGGAACCAACATAACTGTTTCGGTTTAACCATTGTGTATTTCACTATTTAGTGTCACCTACATTAAAAGATGTCTATACTGCATGGGATACCATTAAAGCATCGATGTTAGTACCCTTCACTTTTAAACCTTTTAATTTGCCATTCATCTTGACAATCATATCTATCTAAATGCACTATAGTAGCTTAAGTACACATGGCAATGACAGGCAATGACATAAATAATCTTAGTGCAGTCGAAAAGTCTGTTTTACCAATCCAGGTTAATTGTAAACTATATAACCGTTGGATTCGATACTTTATACTTTACAGTCGATATATTATCATGGTGGATAGAGGTAACGCAGGCCGCCACCCGTGTGGCCTTTTCAAAACGATACTGCAACGCGTTACAGACACACTTTCCTTGAAAAATTCGACATTTGATTAGAGCCCCGATTGCATTTTTATATGTAACACATCTATGGCAATAAAACCTAGTGGTCTAGTAATATGTCTACATACCGTTAAGTCAGTACAGTTGCATTGACACAGTTATGAAGCTTACCTGTAAATTATATCATGTAAATTATCAATCCAAACATTTCAAGAAAATAAATACCATAAACAATGTTCTACGACAACCTGGTAGCAGAGAAAGTGTAATTTATATTTTATCATCTGAAGTTGTTGTTGACCGTTAGTTGTCCGAGGTTCATGAGGGATATATTTAAGCCCTCTTCCACCTGTCCATCCGTTCGTCCAGAAAATAACACAAATACTATGCAAGGATTTTTTCCAAATTCAATAGAAGAATATTTTTCAAGATGGCCGCTGCTTTGGAAATGTCGGAAGTTTTTCATTTCTTGCCAAAGTAATGAGTAATACTGTTTGAAATTTAGGTCATATATCTATAGGGTAAATATATCTATTCATGATATATTTCGTGTTTTTCGGATGCTTCGCATGAATGATGCAGAGTGTATATTTATTATTTTGTCAAAACTCAGGTCCAGCGTCCCATAACATCGGATCTTTTGGGACAAAGTTTAACTAAAGATGTTGCTGTTTAAAAGTGCTTTTTTGACCTATTATTTTGACATAAGATGCATATGACATACACTTACCGAATCATGTATTTCTTATATATGGCTCGTTATCAATATTTCAGCGAGTTTGAATACAAAAACAAATAAAAAACCTCAAACGTTTTTCTTATCTTTTAATTTGGACATAAGATATATTTTAATCATATGTTAGGCCAATTACGCCTGCAAGAACATGCTAGTAACGATTCTGTTGAGCTCTGACGAAGGAATTGCTCATTAGTGGCGAAGATAGCACAGAAAAATAAGGTCGGGAAATCATAATTTGTATCGACCTTTCTTTTACATTGTTCAAAGTCTGAACATAAATCCTTACAGGTTTCCACACCTACAGTTTTTTCTGATTGTGAAGCATGATTTTCAAAAACGTTCTTAGGCTTCAAGGAAATGGAGAAAGAAGTCGCTCCGATAATAGGAGTAGTCCCCATTTTGGTATGTAACGCGTTGCAGCGCCTCGTTTTAAACAGGCAAAGCGGCTGGGTCCGCGTTACCTCTATCCATCTTGACTATGCCCTTATCCACTCGTCGTTTATACCGAGCATGTTTTATTGACTATGCGGGTTTATCTAAAAAGGTATACATACATACGCATGTCAATGCCCTGAACAATATAAGTTGTATTTGTATTCAAAAATGAACAGGTTTGGTACATTCATTCCTGTGTACTGACGTCATAGATTTATGGCCTCGCATAAAAGGAATTATCAGAGCGGTTAGGACACTTTCATATCCATTAGAATCAAGGTATTATACAAACAAGCAAAAACACGTATCGCCATTTTGAGCAGCAAACCAGTGGTAAGTATTTTATAAACATATATGAAGCTCAATTGAAAATTCCTCAATAATATATGGTATATTAAAACTACTGCAGTAAATGAACATTTTATTATCTGTGGAAGTAAGTAGGTTCGCAGTAGTATTGTGCAGGCCATTTGGACGATGTTATGTATCACGTTCACCTATATCCTTGTATGAAAAGGTCAATATGAGCTCCGCAGTCGAAATTAGGTTACGTACTTTCGGCCATGTTACTTTTCAAATACATTACTTTTCCTCATTCCCCAAATTGTCTACATCTTCCAGTTATGCACAAATGAGTTCATTAATGTACCTAGGAAATAGTTTATAAAATATATGAAAAATGAGAAAACTCAGTGACCTACTTTTTTAAAGTACACTTTAAGTAGGTCACTTTATTTTCCCATTTTCATACATCTTAATAAAAAGATTCACTACACTCTTTTATAGGTAGCTTCGTACACTTTTTGTGCAAATGTGAAAAATGTAGACCGTATGAGTTATGCATATCTGAAAATAACATGTGACTCTAATGAGGAGTACTGCATAAAAATTCCGAACGAACACATCTCACTTAATATGTCACAGTACGATCGCTAACCTAACCTTTCCAAAGTTTATCATTGCATCGGATCAGCAAAAGCGTATCTATCTGAGTGCACGTACCCTAATGGCACGCTTGAAAGGAGCTACCCTAAGGGTGAAAACCTAGATGAATTCTATATTAAGAGCAAAACCAAACCATTGCAAGGGGTAGAAAGAAGTAAAGAATTTTTGGAGCATTGTGTGTAGAGAATACAAAAAAATGAGACAGATTTTCATACATAATATCGGAATTAGGATGTGGTTAATCAAAGTAGTAACAAAACTTATTTTTGGTATGCAATCCTTTAAATGCGAAAGCCGTCAAGCCTTTTCAAGCAAAAGCAATTTTATTGTGTAATATATGAGACTAGGTGCGAGTAGAAATAATCTTTACGTCATTAAAAATTCAAAATTCAGTCAAACTGATGTCATATTTGGAATCTACATGGAAAATTGCATCAAGAAATGTGGGTTTGAAAAGAGTTTATCAACTTTGAAAATTTAATTTCCTTTGAAAATGTGACTTCTAGGTCGGGGAGATTCCCCATAGACCCCATGTTGTAAAATCACAAAAATGGAAATATCTTTTCTTGTGTCGGGCAGATAATATTTTGTTTTACTAGACATATTTTGATTTGTATAACTTAAATATCAGATACATAAGGATAATATGAAAAGTGAACCATTAAAACTGGTGAATATTCAAGTTTAAAGGAATTTTGTAATACCCTGCCATGTTATTTCCCTCGAATCAGCCACCTGGTGGCGAAACTGGTAACTACCTACTCGCATCTGAGTAATTTGCCCGGAATAATGTGTTTTTCGAAGACAAGCTCTCCTAACTTTCCGTATTCTTTAAACGCTTTGTTCCAAAAAATTAGTTGGAGGTTCAACATGATTATATTAATCATTGCAATTAAAAGATGTCCCCCAATCAACCAAGTTCAAATGCAACGTTTGCAAAGTACACTCATATTTCAAAGCATGTGGTCACTATACAGGGTGGTCCGAAAAATGGGACACTCGTATTTCAAAAATAAATATTGATTTTCTCGATGAAAACATGTGATACTATATACCAGTGGATAGGGCATTTACTCATCTTTAATTTGGTACGTCATAAGTTCAAATTTATTATAATGTCAACAAGTCTATCCTTCATAAGGGACTGAGTATATGTAAGGGGTTCATGTTAAACCAATTCTATTAGTTCTCCCAAAACATGGTAGTCGCAGACGTTGACATCGCATTATCCAACTATGTTGTTTTTAGACCATCCTGATATTAGCTCATTCTCGAATCATTACATTTTCCAACAAGATGGGGCTCCAAGCAATGGATCTCACAAGAGTGTCAAATGTTTAAAGGAAAATGTGCCTAGATTCATCCCGCCTAATCACTGCCTCTCCCAGATCACCCGATCACCCAATGTCTGCGACTACCACGTATGGGAGAACTAACAGAATTGGTGTACCATGAGTCCTTTTCATCTATTCAATCTCTTTAGGACAGAATTGAATTATTAGGAAGTGAAATGCATTGTCTCAACAGCATATCAATGATGCTATTGGCCAGTTGAGGTCAAAATTGAGGGCTACAATTGATCAGAATGGTGGACATATTGAACGTCTGTTTATGTAAATAAAGTTGACAATAAAACTTGTTTTTTGCAAGTTTTGGAAAACCCGTTTTGAAACTAAAATGATGTCATTTATATTATGGACGCTGGTTGACAGATACTATAATAAATTTGAATTTATGGTATACAAAAGATGAGTAAATTCCCTATCCACTGGTATATAATATGACATGTTTTCATCAAGAAAATCAATATTTATTTTTGAAATACGAGTGTCCCATTTTTTGGACCACCCTGTATAGAGTGTTTATTTAAGGCGAATGAAGCATTGCCGCCAGTCACACACAATTAATTTTATTTATTCCCAATACCAACAGGCATCAGGAATCAAGCCTATTATATCAATTATCACCAGCTGCATAAGCACTGTTCTACAACTAGTTACTTTGACGGAACGTCACCACGAACATCATATACAGGGTGGTCCAAAAAGTGAACCCTTGTAACGGGCCATATTTCCCTTATTACCTTCAGGAATCCTTTCATATGTTCACATGTTGTAGAGAAATGTCTAAAATGTTTGTTGGTACCATACATTTTTCTTAGTCTTGAAAGGAGTGGTGAATGTTATTCTCTTAAACCAATCATTGAAAACATTCTGTAAAAAACACGGTATTTTATGTAATGTTGACTGATTGACAACAATTTAATGCGAAAATTATTTAGAAATATTTTATATAACTGTTTTTGTTAACATTTTTAATGCAATTGTTTTTGCTCCTTTTCTACAAATTCTTGAGAATGAAATAAGATGTCTTTCCGCACCTTATTGGAACAAAATAGCATATACAACATGTTTTTAGACCTCTCAATATTATAGTTATACAAAGGAATTTTTGGTTGATTTTAAAAAAGTATTCAAAAAATTAAAACAAAATATCCCCAAAATAGATAAAAATCAAGATAAACCTTTTATTTCATTAACAAGACACTTTTTTAAAATCAACCAAAATTTCCTTTGTACAGTTACAATATTGAGAGACCTAAACATGTTGTGTTTATGTCGTTTTGTTCCAATGAGGTTCGGAAAGATGTTTCATTTCACTCTGAAAACATGATACCAAGAACAAAACAAGTGTTTGATGTGTTTTCTAAAACAATATAGATGAAAGTATATATCTATTTCAAATTATAATGTTACCATTCAAAAGATGACCAATAATTGAAGATGTGTTAATTTTTTTTTTGTACTCAACAAAAATGTTAGACCTTTCCCTACAACATGTGATAATATGAGGCAATTAATGCAAGTATTAAGGAAAATATAGCCTGTTGCAGGGGTTCACTTTTTTGGACCACCCTGTATATCCTGTACCATACACTTAAAATAGCATTATATCAATAAAACTGCTTTTTCGAATACTGCATGATCTTTTTTATAGGTGTGTTTATCGATCGAAGAGCCTGAGCATGAGGTTGTAACTAAACTTTGCTCATATTGATCCTCACGAGCAGCAGATCAGGGTCGTCTTGACACACAATACTCATATACGTCGATGACACTAATGTGGATAGGTGACATGTATCATATGGCATACTATTGAAGTGTATAGAAAGATACAATATGGAGGAGGATGACTGCAGTGTCTTGGTTGTCAAATCGAGTGAAGATTCGAAACAGAAGGGTAGCGATAATACAGAGAGTTACCGTGCCCCAGATAATTTAACACCAGAGATCATGTTAACACTAAATCAAAATGAACAGACGCAAGAGTTAACTGCTACTAATAAAAATGAGAACTGTGTCGTCGACGGAAATGCTAATAATAAAAACATGAACCAGAAAGAAGAAAATAATAGGAATAATCAGAAATCATCAAGCGAGGAGAACGATGTGTCAAAATCGAGCGTTACCAATCAAACTGGATATATAAGTAAGTCTGAGGCTGAGGTCGTGGCGCAGCAATTAAAAGTGGACGACAGTGCACAACCTACACCATCTCATGCCCAACTTGTTAAAGAAGGACATGATGATACAATAGATGTATCGACATGCCAGGCTCTATCCCCTACCGCTGAAAAACCACAAAAAACTCTGGATATTGTTCGAAAAGCTTTGACCTCTGATATTCATAATCCGATGAATTTCGTCCACAGCCTCATTGAATCCAACGTCCGATCGTACAAGCCTGATGTTTCTCCAGAGCAAGACAACTCGGTGATAATATTGAATGGTAACCTATTTCTTTCTGAATGTGTATTTTAGAGAATAAAATTATTGTATCACTGTCATATTCATTACTCTATCTCTGATTGATCCATGCCACGGTGTCCAACCCAAACGCTCTTCACATAAATACTAGTTTAATTCGTAATTTGGTCAATTCGTCAACTTCAGATTCGTTCGATCTACACTACGGAGCTTTGATCAAGCAAATAACAGTTTACCACCAGAAGTTAAATAAGATTTTTGCTCAAGGTATTGTACATCGAATGATACATAATATGTCATCATATCGTATGATATGTAAGAGAAACGATTGAAACAATACTTACAGTCATAGTGGGATCTTCATTAGCTGCCATTTTATTTTGCTCCACAGCTTTTCCGCGTAAATGAAACGCTCCGTCGTGCATGTAAGAGCGTTTGGGCTGGACACCGTGCATGCTCTACACGTGAATAAAAATAACAATTGATATTCAACGGAAGTCACGTGATTTCCGTTGAATATCAAGGTGATATTCACCAGCCACGACTTAGTCCAGCGTAATTCTAATTTTATATATACCAAGGGGTACATTGTTATGATCAATTAGACATCATAAGTTTGTTATTATTCCATTAATTTGAGCGAGGAATATAACAGTGAATAATAAAACAAATATTTAATTCTATTTTCGATGAATACCTTTGACACTTTCACAAGATGTCATTCCACTAGCTCTTCGGGCTTCGTGCAATATCACTTGTGAGTATACACATCATTTCCTCACTTAGATTATCGTAAATTGTGTATCAACATTCTACATAGATATTTTGACAAGGTTTTCCCACTAGACAAATATTAGATAAGTCTTTTTTCCTATTCCAAAATTAAACTTGAGCAGGATCAACGAAAAGTGACTTTTTATCGATTCAGAAAAGACATTTGACACAGGCTAATAATAGTAAATGCAATCAATCCACGTGTCTGTTACATTTGTCAGAGGTAAGGTAGTGATCAAAAACCACTCACTTCTCTGTTCACCGCACGATCCGGTAAAAATCACACACTCGGGTAAAAATTACATACAGGTAGGTCATAAAACTGCATCTAAATCATAATTGACAAATATTATCCTATCTGTTTAAGGTTTATTAATAATATTTACCTACCCTATTCACCAAATTGGCACAAATGATCAAGGATATCAAGTTCTAGAGCTGATTGGCTTTTGGGTGGCCATCTTGTTTTCTGGCGGCCATTTAGAAGGTTTTTCGGAAAATCTTGTCATCGCCATTTCAGGAAAACCGCTTGATATATTTTCTCCAAATTCATACACATGATAGAGGATATCAAGTTCTTAAGCTGATTAAGTCTTGGGCGGCCAAATTGTTTTCTGGTGGCCATTTTGAAAATTTATTGGAAAATCTTGTTATCGCCATTTTAGGAAAACTGCTCATTGGATTTTCTCCAAATTCGTACTCGTGGTAGAGTCCACCCGCCATGACTCAGTGGCAGAGTCAAGGTTACCAATATCGCTTGGCCCCGGGTTCGATTCCCGGTTCAGACAAGTTTGTTTGTGCGACATGTTTGTGTGTATATGTATTGCTATACTTTTGGTCATCTTAACAGTAAAAACATGCAATCACATTTTACGTTGAGTTTGTGTGAGGATACACAAATTACAGCAAATCCAAGAAAACTCAAGAAAAATCGAACATAACTGGGACGGTGGAATAATTTGTTTGCAGTCTCACGAACAACCAAGATATATGTAAGGACCCCAAATAGCACAAATGATGTAAAATACATTCCGCTGGTTGGATATACTATCAAGAATTAGTTAGGTCGATGGATTTGCAAGATAGAGCCTTCGTTTTGTCAAAATTTGTCGATTTTTACTGGATCGTGCGGTAAAATGTACAGATGATAACAGCGGTTTTTACCAGAGAGTGCTGTTTGATCTCTACCTGTGTCTGTGCAGCCCATGGCCACAAATTACAGTTTATGCTTCTTCATCTGACTCGACATTCCATGCACTTCCCAAGCTCTACCCATTAACACTATCAAAACTAATTAACTAATATGTTTTATATCGTTCATATCAAAAAACGACCAAGATGCCTATTAGCGATTGATAGTTTTCACTTTTGATTTATATGGAAAATAAAACACCGAATAAAAAAGATTCAAGGGCTTTAGTTTAAATTTGCAAAAAATGCTATTTTTCCAGGACCAGAGATTACAAAAGGTAATGGCGATGAACGAACAAAACATGTGGAAACTCCAACGCATTCAATCACCGTCGAAAAGGTAACCCCTACAACAGATCCATCGGGTAAACTCATCCGTAGTATATCTTGGCAACCTCCTGTCAATAGCGAGTCGACACTAAACGCCAGATCACAACCTGCAATTAAACGGCAGCTTCAACACGAGGATATTATTCATCAGGCAATCATGCGTTGTATCTCAGAGTCAACTGATGATATCGATAAGGTAGAACTTCCACCTGTTAAAAGAGAATCAAACAAAAGAAGGGCATCTGAGTCCATTGAACCAACTGCAGCCGACAACAGCAGTCAATATACTACTGATCAGCCAACCCAGTTTTTGAACTACCATGCTAATCGTGAGGCTGTAGTTCCCCATGAAATGCGTCAGTGGGGAGATATGAATACTATACATCACACGCCGGGTGGCCAGCTACAGCATAGGATTGCACCACCGCCGCCTATGAAACAACAAAAAACAATGACCGCTCATCCTTTCAGAGGTGCTCCTGTGCAGGGACATTTTTACAATAATAGATCAAATCCTCAGCAACAGATGCCATATTTTCAAGTTCCTCAAGTACAAGGAGAACGTTTTCCAGTAGATCAAAGAACGTCGGCCCCTTTCCAAGGTCAGTACAAACCGATGTATGTACAGAATAATCAAGCCAGTCCGAACAAGCAGCCACGGCTCCAACCACTCCGTGAAATGACTCAAACTTTTCCTATCAAGGCGGAGAAAAAACCATTTCAAAATCAAAGACAAAATGGACAATGTAACTTCCCTCCAAATGTTGAATGTGTCGAACAATCATACAAGCGAGAGGATGCAGAACGACCAAATCTTCCCAATAAGGCAAATTGTCCGTTTGATTTGATTGAAAATCTAACCAGTATAGAACAGAGACTAATGTACCTCTCATTTTTTGTGAAGAACCTACAGATAGCTCTGTTTGATACGAAAAATTTTAAGATGTTGTTGGCCAATATGAACAGTAGAGGACCAGTTCCTGAGAACAATTCATCGCTTAACACGATGCCTATTTTGGAGCAAATAAAATGGTCAGAAGAAGAAGTGATACGCCTCTCTGCATGTGTTCGGAACTGCAAGGACTATGCAATCAGAGCTCAACATGAAACACCAAACAATGGAGAGGTCGCAGGGACAGGAATTCAGGGCGTCAAACAAACACAACCATATCAACCCCAAACTGCTATGAAACAAAAAGTGCCTCCTCAACTACAACCAACCATGTTTGGACCTACGAGTGTTAAACCTTCCGCGATTCCAGAAAAGCCCTTAGATCTGACCGTGAAAGTAAAAACATCAACTGAGAACAGTGTATTGAAAGAAAGCTCAAAAACTACTTCAATCATTCCGATGAATAAGTGGAATTATGATCAAGTTTATAGATTTGTGGCATCTGTTCCTCTCTGCAGCCCATATGCTCAGGTATATTATGTAGTACCATTTATGCATTTGATCAACTAATTAATTTACAAAATCAGCAGATAAGTATTAATAAAATTAATATCAGTGTGATATGGATGTAAGTAACAGTACTCTGTCATAATGCCAGTTTCATGATTTTATTAAGTCTCGCATCCGACGTCCCTTACGTTTATCTATTTAATCAAGCAACTTTCCACAATGATACATGTACATGTACCTTATCACTGTTCCACAACTAGTTACTCTGACGTCGATGTAACAAAATGGATGAACTTCCTGGTTACGAGATTTTTGTTTTCTCGATTTAAACCTACTTAGTAAAGTTGCAGATTACAATTTTTCACAGAGCAAGAAAATATAGTCTATAGTTTTAATACGTTTCTTCGATTCGGAATTTGTTTTGTAAATGAAGTTGCAATTCATATATTTACCTTCATGCTTTTGTTACATTGACGAAACTTGGTTATATTACCAATGCAGGTTACTTTGACGACTTACGTCAATGTAACAAAAGCGATGGTCTAAATGCATGCATTACAGCTTTATTTAAAAATCAAATTCCAAACCGAGAGCATTTCTAAGAGCAAGACTATATTGTCTATGTGCCAAATGATAATCCGCAACATGACTTATACGTTTAAGTATAAGTTTATAAGTTTAAATCGAGAAAACAAAGAACTCGTATCCAGGAAGTTCATCCATTTTGTTACAGTTCCGTCAAAGTAATTAGTTGTGGAACAGTGCTTATGTTGTTTTCGTATTTAAATGTCTTCTAATAATGTTGTATTCGAAAGCCACACAGTGTTTGCTTTTTTCTACTTATAGATAGTTTTTCATTTAAGTTCATTTATAGGTCGGCTTTCATTCTCCATTGAAATTATTTCAAAGGCACTACAGGTAGAATGAATCACTATTTGATATTTCCACTTATAACTCAATACAAGTATGTCACTTTAAAACTTTGAACCGTATACAGTAACATGTATTGCTTTTTACGACTTTCCTGGTCTATAGTGTCATTTATGCACGCTTTTTCTCGTTCATGTTCTTCGGGATAAAATTTGTCTTAAATTTCCAAGATATGAATTTCAAAATTTATAGTAATAACACTCGAATGTAATAGAACGTGTTACGCGGTAAACACGATACAAATATGTATCATATTCAGCAACGAATATGCCATATTCACTTGCGATGTATGACAGATTCACCTGCGGTATATGGCATACTCACTAACCAATGAGAACGCAATACGGAAGTACGCAATTTTCAATTACATCGATTGAACGAACGGGCAAAGGTTTATAGATTATTACCATGATTACTGAATCAACAGGTCAGTGGTTTGAATATATCAGCCAATAGAATGAATAACATACATCAGCGGTAGCTCTGTTGTTTGATGTTCTTTTATTGTGTAACACGCAAATATACACTTCAAGAGAAACATCATTACGCATAAATAAACGAACCTACGTCCATGGAGCTTATGAGTGACTTTTTTAACCAAATAAACAGTTGACAAAGACCAGATAAAACCTATAAAATCACGAGTATTCATGAATTGTTGTATTGGCAATGTATATGCGTTGTTTTACATTTAGAGTCGATTCTTTTGACCAATCAAATCGAGGCTTGCTGTATCGCGTTTTCACCTGTATATGGCATATTCCGCAAGTGTAGTATGACACATTCCGCAGTTGAGTATGGCATATTCCGAATATGAGGTGACTTTCTGGTATTCACTGAAATCAATGTATCGATGCTAACATAACGCGTAACATAACGCAGCCATGGGAATTATTCCTACTCTATTAGAAATTAGCATTTATGTGAATTTCAAAGTAATTGATAATGGCCATGAATACTACTTTCATTCTTGTATAACAGTTTGTTGCCTTATTGATTATGCTCTGTTGTAAGGTATTGTAAATATATTATTGTGTGAATAATGCTAATGACACGGTTTAATTTTCCAGGAATTTATAAACCACTCCATCGATGGTGCTACTCTGATGCATCTGAATGAAGATCACCTGGTCAAGTTATTAGGGTCAAAAATAGGACCTGCCATAAAGTTGAAACTAGCCATCAAAGAGATTTGCAGTGCCATTGAATCCGGGAATTAAACGGAGAAAAATCACAATTTAACCAAACGTACATCTAATGTGCGTCACGATGTAATCTCCGACAAATAACATAACCTATAAACTTCTCGTATCTGTGACTCCTCGGAACCCAACATGACTTGACAGGACACGTGGGGGATTGGTGCACATATTCTTCTTATTATTATTATGAGCTTTATTATACTGTTATACTTGTATCCCCACTTTGGGCAAGTTGTACAGCTTATACAGAAATAAATAAATTGAAAAAGCTTAACTAATTATACATATTAACTAACTAAGGGGTGCTTGATCATTGCAAGATTTTATTGGATGCATTGCGTGGTTTTATCTCTCGATATTTGATATATATTTTGCGAGTATATTTAAAGATTAATATTATCCCCTCTGAATTAAATAGAGACATTAATTTATGTTCCAAGATGTTCATGTTTTCTCAATTTTAACTGTGTTTTTTTATATTATCCATGTATCTTTACCGAAAATCTTTTAACTTATTGCATTCAAATAGGAAACGGCATTCTCAACCGGTTTTCTTGTTACACATTAGACATTTTCTTTCTTCAATAGGGGTAATCGGTTTTGTGTAACGACCTGTTTCGATTTCTAATTTATGTGCGCTAAATCTTAGCTTTGTCAAATTATTTCTGTCTATTTCATTTTTGATTAAACCCAAGTAGGGTTGCTTGTTCCATTTTGCTTTTATTATATTATAAAACCTTAATTTATCATTATTTGATTTTATTTTAATTTCCCAAAATTGCATGTATCTATTTCCCAGTATTTTCTTTATTTTTTGCGTGTATTTACCTCAAGGGCTTCGCGTAGAAACGAGTCTGTTCCTCTATCATTAATATGATTAAGATATTTTATTTGTTGGTAAAACAATGAAATAAATACTGAAAACATACCTAAATCGCTTCGTGTTGCCTCATTGTTGGCCTTTCTGTAACACCGAGTTCCAATTTCACGAATGATATACATGTATGAAGAGATTCAAATGGTATTATATCCCTTTTCTAATGCCCATTGTGGGTCTTTTTTAATTTTACTCGAGTAGTGTTGGATGGTGTTCGGTGAAGAATATGCTCATCATGCACTGACTTTTATAGATTTTGTGAAACCTGAATATTGCAACAAGTTACGCTGTTAAAGATAATGCTCAACCGTACTTTCTAAAATGTTAATCACCTGGGGGTCATTAACAGAATTTTCGCAAAGTTACGAATTCGCAAGTCAATTGTTAATTTTACGAATTTGATAAATGTGCATTAACAGAACTTTCGTAAAGTTACGAACGATTCGCAAAGTTACGAAAAAATGACGTCACGTATGCTTTCGTTCGTAACTTTAATAACACCTCAGACCCTTTCATAACTTTGCGAATGGCATATTTCTCATCCAGTTCTTATGTAAGGTATACAGGTTGGCAAAAGGAGATTGTTCTTTATATGTATGCTAAGTTTCAAGCTAAAATATCCACCTATTCTTACATGATAAGCAAATATGTTCCTTAGTTGGGAATCTTTGAATTCGCAGAGACAGGTTTAATCACAGCGCGCAATGATATCAAATGACATCATATTTCTATTTGTGCTAAATAATGATATAAGATGACGTCACAATTTGAATTTCGTTTACGAACGATAAAACTTATGAATGACTTACGAAAGTGTTCTGTTAATGGCCAATTCGTAACTTTACGAATTCGTAAGTCATTCGTTACTTTTTAAATATTTACGAATTTCATAAAGTTACGAATTACAAATTCGTAACTTTGCGAAAGTTCTGTTAATGACCCCCTGGATTGTAAATCCAATGTAAATGTATATCAACAATGTTCTGTAAAGTTTAGAGCATCGCTCAAAATTACTTTTTCGGATATAGATTGTCATAAAAGAAAGTATTAATGGCTTTTTGTTTAAGTTTAAACATAATTAACATACGTATTCGTAGTATATAGTAGCAGTATTTCAAGAATTATAGGGCAAAGGTATAACCATGTATATTTTACAAAGAATATAATGTAATTTTAAATATAACATAGACGTTTTTACATGTATACAGTTCTGTCTTTATTTCAGGATAATGCTTCGATTCCTAGTGTTATCTGTCAAAAGTTCTAAATTCTAATGCGTTTCGATTTTTGCATCTTGAATTTTCTATATATTCAATCATATTCTCAATTCTTTTTTTTCAGGAAATAAACATATCAAATAAGATTGTAATGCAATTTGTGATTTTTTAAACACACCATATATCCTTTTAGATTCCTTTAACACTATTTATAGGAGAGTGAAACGAAGCATATAAAATGTTACGAACCGAATTAAGTTCAATCTGGGGCATGTTATTTTAAACACCATATGCATTTTAGAGCGTTCTTCTTGGTCAAAACGTTAAAAAGACGGCGTCACGCGTAACACTCACTCATGTGATTTGTTGATCCGTTACAAAGTATGCCCAAGTATTGAACTTCGGTTCTACATATTCTATACAATATCAAGGTCGAATTAGTCCTCATGATGTATAAAAACACTAGCCCTTTACCCATAAACTACATTAACGTGGCATTTGATTGTAGGTTGATTTATCTATTAGCTTAAAACCTTGAAATTCCCATATATTTTGTCATTAAGGTTACAACATTTCGACCTGCATAGTGCATACGCATATACGTGTACTTGGCTAATCATTATTGCTACTATTTACAGTTTTTTGTACAAGGTTAATGCATTCCCTTGTTACACTGTGGCTAGTCGATCTATGTGGATGCAGTCAGGCACATGTAATGTTTCGTGAGTACCCGCCTCTGTACTTTTCAATGGAAGAATTTTGCACTTCTGTTTAAATAATCGATATTTACTCATCCGTGTATATCATACTTCATTGATTTACAAAACCAAAGCTACGCTATAAACACACATTCTCTGATATTTTTACGGAGAATAGATAACTCAAACGAGTTCACTCGACCAGTTTTATCATCTCGCTCATAGCTGTGAGAAGGTATGTATAATTTGCCATAGGTTTACCTTGTAATGGGGAATAAAAAATTCAAGTAATATAATTATTTCACATACACAAATATGTCTGTGTGAAGTAAAATACAAATACAATGCGTTCTATAATATTTTTGGAGTTATGGTATGAAATATCAGCTTTAAAAAAGCAATTTAATTATGATGTATCATGTGGATTAGTAGACGTTCTGATTGGATTCATTGAACAGACTGGCTAGGTTTCAATTGAATCATTTTGAATGTGTGTATTTTTAATATTTCAATCCACAGTGTCCGAAAACAATAATAATGCTATATTGGTAATTGGAAAAATTCCACTTACCACGATTTCAAAAAATTGTAAATAGATAATACTATTCTTGAATGATGGTCATTTGTTTCAAGGAATCTGGAGGCTCGTTCAGCTGAGCTGACAAAATCATCAAGATTTACGGATGGTCCATCTGTTGGCTGCTCATTGTCACCTTCAAGGAATGTTAATGGCTCTGAAACTGGTAGCCTTGCCCAAGTCGGTATTTATTTACTTATCTGATCTTGAATTATTACCACCTTGTACAATCCAATGTATCATCGCTGATATTATGCTAACTTATTCAGCGGTTCCGAGATTCCCATAATACCTAGGCTACCTAAGGGTATCGCAAAACCATATTGATTGACAATATGGACATGGACACAACGTTTGACTTCAGGCTGATTGACCAATCAAAACGTTATCGGGTTGACCTGCATAAAAAAAGCAAACTACCCATCTAGGACTTGAAATTCAATTATCTGATCGAGTGTTTCTTGAGAGTTACAATATATTATGTTATTAAATGTACATTGGAATGTAAGCAGTCATTAATACTCGTCTAAATGAAATCATGCAATTCAATGTTGATTCAAAATCAAAACTGAATTCGCGATGGGAATGCACGAAGACCTAGTCAGGCAATGTAGGGCAGTCGTTGATTTGTCAAATTTTACCGACAAAAACATTGGGTCGGTAAAGCACATGGCTTTCTCTTGGGTACAAGGTAGTCATAATAGAAATCAAGATAAGTAAAATAGACCGACTTTGGCAAGGCTATGAAACTTGATTTGTGGGTATTCCAGTGGGTCGATGGGTCTTTTGCTCTGAATTCACTTCATTAGCGTACCCAATTTCAACATTTTCATTGTCATCATTACATGTTATGGACCCGTTTTTCAAATTAACAGTATCAGCGATAAAACCATAGTTTTTGGCTCACACAGTGAGACTATGGGATCGACCAGGCGTCCGTCCGTTGGTCCGTCCGTCCGTCCGTCCGTCCGTCCGTTGGTCCGTCCGTCTGTCAACATTGGTTGCACAAATTAAAACTGCTATTCGGATTGAGTCATTTCCACATTCATTTTATGCATATCCATAATGTCTATTTGACCTATCATCGCCATTTCCCAAGTTCGCCCGGTTTCCGAGAAATTGCTGATTTTTAAATTTCGAGAAAAATCGATCTGATGACAGCCTTATAGAAAGTCAAGAGAAGTGAAGAAAAGATTGAAAAAATACCAGTCCAGTCCATTTCCAGGTCCAAGTCCAGGTCAAGGTCCAGTTCAGGTCCAAGTCCAGATCTGGGTGTAATCAGGTTTAAACCAGGTCAAAGGTCAAGAACTAGGTCAAATCCAGTCATTTTTTCAATTTTCTCAGTCGTCCTTGAATATTTTTGCTCCGTTATTTTTAATCATGTTCCTTGGGAAAAAGCTAATCCCTACAGGCAAGTTGTTTTTGATCACTCTTACCGTTTTTGAGATATGGCATCCGAAATGTAGGTCACAATAAAAAGTTCTTGGAATTCAATGTATAGTTATGAAATATGTGTAAAATTGTCCAAGGAATCCGAATCTGCAAACCAAATTTTGATCCGACTTCCGGTTCGGAAGTTATGGCATTTTGAAATCTCAAAAATCGCTATTTTGGTATCCCATGTTAAGTCAATGGGGCTTGAGAAAATTATCAATTGTAACAACACAACACTAGATACAGCTTGGATGCAGCCAACTTAATAAGAATCTACAATAGAAGCCGTCTCTCAAAATCTACTTTCCTTCAAAATTTGAACACTAAAAGGCCTAGGTCAAAATCTAGGTCAAATTCATAGTTTTTCTTTTGACTACAACAAATCATATCTGAACCAACAACAAAGGACTCATATTTAATTGATCTCATATTTGCCAATACTTTTGTTTGTAAATCAGGATATACATTCCTTCCTCTGTAGGTTCTACACTGTGTGAGCACAGGACCGTGGGTCCTTTATTTAATCTGTAATGGCATTTTCCAGTTGATGGGTTTATATATAGTATTTTCAATTTTTCATGAGGGTGCCTTTAGACTACTTGTAATGGGGTGGCTAATTACTTTACTGAATGAGGAATGTTTATCCAAACAATGGATACAAAGAAAATCTGGCCAGTTGTCCATCAGTAAATAAATCATCATGATAAAAGTATAATTTATTAAAGCATCCATTTGTTACCGTTCTGAATCCAAATGATACATAGGTGCATCCATTTTATACATATATGTTGACGTTTATGAAATGTTTTTCAAATATCTTCCCTATAACAGGAATATGGTAGCTGAACTTTTCACACATTGTCATACTATGTATATTGAATATGTGTGCAAGATTTCAAGTCACAATGTTAAGTAGAAACTCTGAGATCACTTACCTCGATTTGCTGTCATATTTTTGCAATGAACCCATTCCCTATAACGTACGCGAGTACCCACGATACATTACATATAAATGACTGCATCCACATAGATCGACTAGCCACAGTGTGTTACACGTTTCCTTTATTAACCATTTTTGCAATTTTCAAGTTTATTTCTCATAGATAAAACTGTAAATCATTTTAGCAGAAATGATGTTGCGTTTATTCCCATAATGGCCATAATCAAGAGTGTGGAATTCACTTTTATCGCCAGAATATAAGATCATAAGCAAGGTATCTAGGACTTTTAAAACAAAAATGGCGTCACAGGTTAGTATGCCATCTTTCAACAATACACCAGTTATCACTCGTCCTTATAAAATGTCAAAGTTATTATTGATGTCGCCTATTTTGTTTGTTTAACTTGAAGAATTGTCCCTGAACGGGGCCTTTAACCTCTTTTATTCATTGTTGAGCCACTTAGTAAGAATACGATTGCACCATGATGTCCAATCAAAGATCATTCGAATACCTTTGTGTTCCAGAGACGTTTGTTGGACATCCGGTATGACAACGTCTACCCAAAGTTTGCGCGCTGCCATTGCTACATTGATGTTTTTATCACTGGTTGTGGACATATTGTTCTTTAACATGGTATATACGTACATGGTTGATTTTCTGAAATCTTGGATCGAGAAATATATAAGTTCAAATTCGTACGATGGCCCATTGGATTAACATTGTCTGGTTAGTGTGCACTTCCCACTTCGTGTCTTGAATTCCCATCACCTCCTATCAACAGCTATCAAATTAAACGGTGGTGGCCTTAGCGTTGGTCCTGACATAGGAAACTGCCTCGCATCTGGGATGGGTATCCCTGAAGACGGAGGGTGGAATTTAAAATGTTGTAACAGTGTAGTGATGAACAGAAACAATCTTGTCTTTGCAAGGACCTGACCGAGACAAGCCCTCCTCCCAGCACCAAATGGCTTCATTCTGAAACGTAAAAATATTGCATTCGTACAAATCTCGATAAAAAATTATTGCACAACTATAAAAATATTTAAACCTTCACATCGCTTTAAAACGCGCATTCTTGGGTCGTTCCGGAATCCGGGGTCAACTGTTAGATTTTGAGCTAAGTTTATAATGAAATAATATAAAATGGTGAACAAAAAAATATGGTGTACGGTGTATGGTGCTCACGATAAATGTGACAAAACTATGAGGATTGTTCCTTCGATTGCTCGGATTGTCGCAGAAAATTTGATTTTTGGAAGGTTTCTAAGATAATATTACGTCACTGCCGATTTAGAAAGTTTCAAATATTTACGTTAAATTACTTCTACGATAATTAGATAACTCGTTGTTTAGTGCAAAGATGCTCACTCGCCACCGGGTGACCGTGGTTCGAAACCCCACATTAACGTTTTTTATTCTTTTAACTACATAGTTGTGCTTTGATGTTTTATATCTGCAAAAATGCAAAAATAATATGTCCACATTATGCGTTTTAAAGCGATGTGCAGGTTTAAATACATATAAGACCAAAATGATTTTAAATATATTGTACAACTGCGTCGTTGTGGCAATACTAAATACCAGCAAAGGTTTTTAGATTATACAAATTGGAAAAACTTAGGATGTAAATGTTTGGAACATTTTACAGTATTAATTTTCCAACGAGAAGCTTCAATATGATGCGCAATTAGCAGGCTTGTCAACGAAAGTATGTTATTGTAATACAGTATGTATAATGCAAAGTTTTCATGGATGGTCGGCTTCTATAAAGACTAAATGCATATATTTGGACTAGTTTTGCAAGACATTTGATGTAAATTCTATTGTTTTATTTACTAACAATTGGTTTGTATGATTAAGATTAAGAAAAATTGGATTTAGAAAATTTAAGTTTTAGTCTGGGTGCCATCTAGGTTTTCTTAGTAGGTGCATGTATTGAAATGCGTGTATAAACATTTTAGACTACTTATAAATATGTTTTAGTATATCCAAAGTCAATCTTTGTTACTTATCGTTCGCTGTTGTGTATGTGGACTTTAAAGGTCAAGGTGCAGGATAAAGAATCAATATGTCAAACTAACCAGTGGATAACACTCAACACATTTATGTCGATTGACTACGCTATCAAGTACATTTGGTGCTACCCTTAGCACAAATGTGTCTGAGGCTTAAGCATAGGCTTAGAAATATGTCAATATAACTGGATATGCTATGTCAACACGTTTCAAGTTGATTGATCGAGCTTCCCTCACATGTACGTTTCAATACAATATGATACAAATAAATCAACATGGCCTTGTACTGATTGTACTAAATATACTAATGATTTATCTATTATGTATCTAGTCGACATCTAGCCTAAACAAACATACATGTGCCTGTAATTAATTACCACGCCGTGAAATTATTGTCTAATCATCTACATTTCATTTCAGGACTTTAGCATTCATTTTAATCTTTCCCGATTGCTCAGTACATAGTCAAGTGTCATTAAACTGTTAAATAGAATTAATAAATTATTTTTCTTTGAAAGATATATTCTCACCAAGACCTCTACCATTTGGCTGGTCTGGCCAAAGTAAAACTACGAAAAATCAAGTAAAATGTCAAGTTGATTTCTTCACTACCCGTGTGCTTTACACTCAACAAGGAATTCAAGTAAAAATTACATTATTTCAACCATTTTATCTATTCTTTATATATGCATTAATTTTGTAGCTTGTTTAAACCTGCGACGTCATCACATATTACGTATCACGTCATCACGTTTTATCAATTACATTTAGGGTGTATAATCTACTTTCGAAATTCAAACTTTTCAAATTTGATTTAATATTCCATTGAATGTGTTCGTATTGAGAGGGGATCTGACAACCCTTGAACATTTAACCGCTTTGTTATGTCAATCCTCCTCTAAGGACACCACATAGTCTTCTAGAAATAACATCTGCATATGACGAATAATAATACTTTATATTTAAAACACTAAAACTTTAACCTGTTTATCATTTACACGTGTCATGCTGTTTCAAAATCATTCAAAGTCATCATATCATGTCACACTGTCATATGCACGATGTACGGTGCCTTTATATAAATAACTATGAAACTGCATACGGGATAGGCGTAATTGTGTTTTTTTATCGATTACATGTCTTCCATTATAGCCTAGATATAAACATAAAGGTTGCTATTACATGTTATTACTGCGACCGATTGCGCATGCATACACCGCAGTTATGCCTAGGTCACATATGCACCGGGCGCCGGCCGATGAGTGGTCATCGGCCGATTTCTAAATTGACCGGGCGCCGCTGACTTTTCCCCGATGACTTGATTTCGCCGTGAGTCTGGTCACATTAGTACAGGCACCACACGGCGCCCGCAAACAACTAAATCTATAGGATATCGCACGGGTATCGCAAGGCTATCTATCGATGACCGTACGGCATCCGCCAGGACATCGGTCGATCTACAGGACACCAGAAAGCCTCTACAGCTAAACATATATTCATAAACAAGTTTCCTTCATTTCAGTTTCAAAAATCGATCATCCAGCATCGACTTAAGGCATGTCTTTGTATGAGCTGTAAATACAGGTATACACATTCTATAGCATTATGATATTGAACTTCATATTAATTTATTGAAAATAATCATATCATCTGATTTATGGTATGATACTCAAATAAAATAAATTGTAGCTAAACCCTCGCAAAGAATGGCCTTGAAAAAACTATACTCACACAGCACAGAAACATTTTCAAATGATTTTTAATGACATATGCATGATTGAATCGAATATACGGATAAAAAGGTATCATCTTGTTCAACAGGATTAAATGCCAAGACTGACAAGCAGCTAATAAGGACGAAAAGGTCCATCCACCCACACAACGACCCAAATCTGTTATTGTATTTCGTTATACAATTCGTACTTTAATATTTAAGAAAAAAGTTCTGGAAAATTATATTTCCTAACCCTATCATATTTAAAATGTTTATATCATATTAGTAATTATAATTGAGAATGATCGAACAAATCAGTGTGTAAAGTTAAATAAAATCCCTAGATAACAATGTGTTCCCATACCAACCAAAATAACGCCAAAAAAGGCATACCAGATATCCAAATATAAGACCAATGACATACCAAATGTCCAAATATAAGACCAAGGCCATTCAAAATGTCTAAAGATCTTTGAGTAAAACGATCCAAAACAACCTCAAATTAAGGATTTGCCATACCACAAGTGAGATGTAAGATCTTTTCTGTGACCATTCTCATAACAGAAAGTGGAAAAATCCAACCATTGCCATACCTCAAAAGTCATAATTTGGGGGGCATTCCCATACCAGATCCTAAAATTTGGGTCCATTGCCATACTAAATGTCATAAAAGTTACCCCATGTGCGCCGAGGATCCCCGTTAAGGTTTATATATTGAACCCTCGGGGACTTAACAGCGAGTGATGATTATGCTCCGATCCAACAATCACCTCCCCCTCGATTATGCATTCAGGCTAAGGTGCAAAATGAGAACAATCCTAGCCGCCTGCTGATGACACAATGAAGGACTCCCACCTTTCCCTGTTCAATTTGTAGCGACGCATTGTCGATGTTCTTGAAAAGAATTATGGGCAGAAGACCTCTGCTAAAGGAGGCATTTTCAATTTGGCCGCTCATTTCAAGATTCCCGCTATTTTTGTAAAATTCTTATGTATGTTATTGAAATATCAGTAGACGGATTTGGTTCTTTTAAAATCCCTTGCTTTAGGGAATAAGGACTCTGCTCGAGAGGGAATTTTCAAGATGGCTGCTCAATTCAAAATGGTTTTTCATGAAAAATGTATTTTTAATAACTTAGTACCAGTTATATGATTTGGTCCACATTTTATAGACTAATGTCATAATGGCATAGGACCCCAGCTCAAGAAAGATTTCACGCAGTGCCACTCAATTTAAAATGGATTTACTAAATGGATATACATTTAAAAAACATGATAGAGAAGAAGCCCATGCTTGGTCAGGTGAAACAAGAGGATGTTGAGCCAAGAACTAATAACGTGTGGATGGATCGGTTACAATGGCAACTGGGATGTTTGGAAGGCATGTTTCGCCCTCCACCTTAAACATTGCCTAATTTTCGCCACAGTCGGCAGGGGAGAAATCGCATCCCAAAGAATGAATCTGCTATTCGAAGGCTAACAAACCTGTCATCCATGGCTGTATATTTCCCATTACAATCAAGGAATCGTTCAGGTTTAAAGTGCCACGGATCATCAAAATATCGCTCGTCATGGTGCATTGCCCATAGATTAGTCCAAACCTAAAACAATATAACGCGCGCATAAATGAAATTCAACTCATAGTACTAAATTACAAACACAATACAAAAATTTCAAAAAGCCGTACTGAAGCTTTAATGTCCTGTTTAAGAACTCCTATTTTTACTATTGAAAATGGATTCTAACAATAGCTACTCCAATTAGAATCTACTTGTTGAGACTCCATCAACTTGAGTTCTTCTGAGAAAATGAGGATTTCAGCAAGGGTGCATTGACATAACATGGTGACATAAATGATGGTATCCGGATGCTTTAGTCATTGGACAGTGTTGTATGTTTCCAATCTAAGTCAGTGAACCCTTGCTGAAATCCTCATTTTCTCAGAACTCAAGTTTATCGAGTCTCAACAAGTAGATTCATGTTGGATAGTATTGCTGGAATCCATTTTCAATAGTAAGGATAGTGGTTCTAAACAGGACATTTGGGCCTGCATCAAAATTTTATTCGATACGACAGAGCATCCGCTATTCACATGCATTCTCATTATGCGATATAAGGAATACTTTCATTATTGGTATACCATATTTTATAATATTATATAATGTTGCCGTTTTTTATTTTATTCTTACGTTTGTTCCCTTTGGTAGAATATGTCCACCGATAGTAGTTTCTTTGGTCGTTCTATGTGGAACCCCTAATGGGTCAACAGTAGCGTATCTTAGAACCTCTCTCAGCGTAGCCTGCATATATGGCATATTGTCTTTATCTTCTAAGGCCACTTGGCGATCACCAACAACTCTGTCTATCTCCTCTTGTAATTTCGCTTGTACTTCCTCGTGTGAGACCATAGCAAATAGAAATGCCATCATTGTTGCATACGTTGTCCGTATTCCTGGAAAGATATACACGTATAATAAAGTACACTTAAGTTGAAATGTTTGAGCTCCTTTAATTCTAGTTATAACTCTAGGATAACTCAGTTCCAAAATTAGGAACATTCTACACATGGTGCCATCTTTGGAAGGTCTTTAGAAACTTCTTTTCAGACTGTTTACTGTCAGAATTACGGTTAAAAAGAATCGTTTGCGCAGAAAGTAAGTTAAAGGCGATAGAAACTCAATATTATATGTTTGAGTCACTGGACTCAATGCTTTGTTTGTAAAATACTTCACAAGTGGCAGTTTGTTCCTTTCTTAAACCAAGACAGAAGCTCGAGGTTTAAGGAAGAATCAACTTCTCGAGTGCTATATTTTACAGACAAAGTACTGGGTCCAGTGCTCATGATCAACTTTTAACCTCTTGACTACCTGGAGTGACGAGATTTCTCGTCACTTCAGAAATGATCTTGAAAACCAGTGACGAGAAAAATCGTCACAAAATTTCTCACTAAAATTGCTCTTGTTTGAAAAATTTTCATCCAATATTCATAAAACTTGTTTTAAAATGTATAGAAATGTTCTCTGCCATGTAATTTCACTAAATTGAGCGTCTAAAGTTGTATAGTATTGTAGTAAAATGTCAAAAGGTGGTAAAAATGAAAAAATTTTCGAATAATTGTATACTTTTTAGGGGGAAATTTTACCTATAAATATGTGTTTCGGACATAAATAAGATAATGAATTAAATTAGATAATTAGATTAAACATCCAGAGTTCATGAGACGAGGCTCAGAGGTTTTGTCTAGACATTCCTTTCTCACCAAAATCTTCCAAATTCTTAGATTCTCAGTAAACATTCAAGCTTTGTGGGCAGAAAATCATCACTATTTCTTATTGACACTTTATTAAATTAAACATTTATTTTTAGGCCAATTTTAGTTAATGGGATTTCCTGATATTTTATTGGATAAGACCTCTTATTTCAGCTCTGCCCACCTCAAAATTAAGATATAAAAGAGGCACCCTTGGCATTGAAACCTCAGAACCTCGTTGCGTGAACTCGGGACTAACCAAAACTGTAAGTAGCCGATTGAAATGATATTTTTGGACTTTTCTTCAATAAATTAATATTTCAAACTATATTTGTTTTCATGTTTTGTAAAAGATAGAGAGACTCAATTTCGCCACAGTATCATTCTCCATATAGGCCGCTAATTGTACTTTTTTCTTTACAGTTTTTGGTCCCTTTCCTTTGGAATTTGCGCCTATATATTCCCTTTAAATCTAATGTTATTTTATGTGTAGATAATCTATTTTAGAAAGAAAACAATAAGTTGGTTCAATATACAAGAAGGAGTGAACAGGACAGCCAACTTGAATTTATGAAATCACTAGAATCTAAAAATAACCATGCTTGGTTGATGGAATTTCAAGAATACAGATTATTTGAAATGCTGTTTTTTTGAATGGCTGGAATTTGATAAATCAGTCCTGTATTTCAATATACCTGCCATTAATATGTTTGTACACGAATTCTTGATATTGTCGTCTGTGATTGGATTTTCAGAGTTTGCTGTGGCTTGCTGGCCTATCAACAAGCTATCCATGAAATCCCTTGCTTCGTTGGCATTCAATGTATTCTGTAACATACGTATATTGATTAACAAAAAATGTTAGACCCACAGGACAATCAGAACTTATAAATGATAAATGAAGGCTCGGTGACCACAAGGAAATGAAATTGATATTACCATTTTAATTAAGGATTGATCGAGTCCCAATTTTAAGAACATTGACAGTTATTAATAGTTGACTGATTATTTTTTTACCGTACACTCTCTTCAAAATTTGACAACCCTCATCTCCCATTGGGATAGCGTTTTGAGCAATGTTTATGTTTGACTCTGAATGTATTTCAGTTGGGACATTTTGATCCAAGATTTTGAGTTTATACTGTGTAAATATACATCTCACCCGGTGTTTGTTTATCCAATGACTAAAAAAATCATCTCTCGATTCGAGAAATTTTAAGAGCCTTTTGTAATTCTTGTTACCAAGGAAACGCAACCAGGGGAACTGATCAAGTTCTACTCCATTGGAACCACTCAATAATTCGCCAATATTGGTGTCCATCTTCACAACTGATTCAAACCAGGGGTCTCCACGCTCAAATCGTTCACCAAGTAGCTGTAAGTAATTTGAAAGAAGCGTGATACAACATAATTCGTTTTTTACAGTGATCCATATATGTTTCAGTTAATTATTAATGCGAGGCTATATATTTATATTTTTTTGTGAAAAACTATTATGTACAGATTACCCTACTATCACACCAAACTAGTTCTCACCACGTTCTCGAAAACGGACTTCAACTGTGTACGAACGGACTGGACCTACTAAGAACCATTTGGGATCTATTTACAAACTTCATCGAACGTACTCGAACGGGTAGGTCCTCTAGAACTTAGACAATGCTCAAAATGTTCTCGTGGTCGTCACGTTCTACAATTAGAACGGAACCGTCGTACTTCAATCCTACTAGGGACGTTTTAACAACGAGTTGAACTGTCTGAGGACGTGTTTAGAACGAGGTAGAACTAATTGCAAACGGGTTTAAACTGATTAAAAACGTATTTAACACTGCTTATGAACGAGTTAGCAGAAATATAGCTATCACACCAAACAAGTTGCCACTGCGTTCTCCAAAACTGGTTTTAAACTGTGTGCGAACGGAATGAACGTAGCTGCAACTTTCTAAGGTCTATTTAAAAACTTTATGAACGTTCTCAGACGGGAATGTGATTTTAGAATTTTGAATCGATTCAAAATTCGATGGCGACCATGCCGTTCTGTAATCAGGTCATGTTGACCTTCTAGACTAAGGGACGCGTTCTACTACGTTGCACACCGACGTGGTGCGACCTGAACGAACTGCGAACGAGATGGACGTATTGAAGACTGAAGAAGCTAATTATTTCAGACATATTTCCCGACCACAGCCAGATTGAGCCCGTTTTACGACGTTTTCGTAGGACTGGCAAGAACGGGTAAGAACTAGTTTGGTGTGATAAGGGGGTTAGGTCGATTTAAAGTATATTACATCAACATGAGTAACGTTAAAGTAACAATATAAAATGAAATGACTATACCATAATAAGAATAATATTCAGTATGCTTCTGTATATCATGTCGTTGGGGTCGAAAGGCTCGCCCTTAAATGATCTGAAAACGTCTTTACAGTAGTTGATTTCTTTCAAAGAGAGTTCAACGATCGAACCCAGTCCATCACCATATTGTTTTAACCCTTTATGAGCGGTCTTCTTTAACTGAACATACGGAGCCCCAAAATCCTGAAGTCCGATATCCTTTCCTTCAAATACCATACGTATCCTGAAACTTGTCGGACGCCCTGCGAAGTCTACTGACTTTGTGACCAGAGCTTCGTGTATAAATTCCTTACTACTTAAAACAACCAATGTTTTATCCAATATCTTCACTTTGCAAATGTCTCCGTATTTTCTGGCTATGGCCAGGATCGTATGGTGGGGTCCAGTTCTGTCTATCATGAGTGCATTGCCAAGGAAAGGTAGAGGCCATGGACCAGGGATGGAATTAAGAGGATCACGCAATCGTTTATACACAAGATAAGAAACAACTGCTGTTACCAATAGTATAACGCTGATCATATTGGTCCTGTTACTCCTCCAATCATATATAAAGTTGTCAAAATAATCAAGTTTGTATATTGCTTTTGATTCAAAATCTTCGTATATATCAAATCGCCTCAAGAAATCCACCAGAAATCCATCAGTAGTAAAACATACTATTTCATTCAACTTAGCACTACTTTGAGCAAATGTACAGCATACACTGCTTAGCTCTCTGCATTAAATACATTTAACAAGTTAACAATAATAGTAAACTGTTTATGGGTAAGGTTTGCACAGTGTCCTTGTGATTCTATTTTGAGTCTACATACACTATTGACCTGCATGGCCACTCGTTTTACTTTATGTGGTATTTGATCTCGTGTATGTCGTAATTCACCTATATTTTATTGCTATTATCGTGATATGTAAATTAAATGCGTTAAACATACAATATAAGGGGCTAGTTCATGGCCAGGATACGAAAGAGGGGAAACAAAAGTAAATATGAGAAGTACACTAGATGTAAGAGAGGATATTTTACTCTGTATATTGTACTCTCGGTCTCTTAGAGGGCCTAATATTAACGGATTATCGTTAACTCATCAGAGTGGAGCAAATGAAACGATTGAAAAGGGTTGTCCCGAGTCTCCAAATTATCTTAATGACATACTTTCAAATGTATGCTTACGAAATATTTTCAGCTTTGCCATATAAGAACTTCTAATAAAGATCAAAGGGCATAAAGAAGATCACTCTCTTTAAGGCAATACAGAAAATAATCATCGGATGGATCATTGTTTTAAAAGAATATCATGAGAAATAAATAACAATTTTGTTTTGATTCCCACATTTTGTTTTGATACAAGATGCGAGGAGAAATAATCCTGATTTACGTCATTAAAAATTAAAAATTCAGTCAAGGTGATATCATATTTGAAAACTAAATGTAAAATTACATCTAGAAATGTGATTTTACAAAGTGTTTATCAACTTTGAAAATAAATTTAATTTTCTTTGAGAATGTGACTTCTAGGTTGGAGAGATTCCATAGACCCTATGTGATAAAATCACAAAAAGTGAACTATATTTTCTTATATTGGACAGATAATATTTTATTTTACTGGACGTCATTTTAATTTGTTAACGGTTACATAAGGGTAATATATAACTTACAGGGCATTATGCTTGCAATTGATTACGAAAAATGTTTTGATTCAATTTTAAAAGAGTTTATGTTATACTCTTTAGAATATTTTGGGTTTGGTCCTTCATCTATAAAACTGATTGAGGTCATAGTTACAAATGGACAAAATCATACTTTTAACAATGACTGACTTATACGTGACATCAAATTAGGGTGTGGCATTCGGCAGGGGTGCCCCTTATCTGATAATTTACCTAATAGCATGTGGGCTTTTATCTTATAAACTTAAACAATCCATGATGAAACCAAATAAAGTGTTACAATGCGCAGATGACGTAGCGGCTTTTGTGCATGACAGCCTTTTGATAATGTACTTAACTATTTAATACATTTTATGGCTTATCAAACGATTCCAAAACTATTTCTAAACAAATAAATCGGCAGCAATGAAAATGTAATCTGACCAAAAATGAAAATACAAATATATAGTGAAAAGCTAGGCTGGTGTCTTCAACTGATAAAAGAGGGTGTCCATGCAATTTGTGTGTGATATTACATGTATTAAGTGAACAATCGGATACATACTACATCTCATGCGGTTTAAAAGCCGTATTTAATTGCTTAGTGAAAAATTGCAAGGATAAGATATTTTTCTAAAGGATCCAAATAAACCTTTTATCATAATCTACTCGGGCTATAACGCGACTGATATTTTCCTGAGTTTTTCAGTATGTCCATTGTTGCCCGCAATTTCCAGTTCTTTCAACCTTCCGCAGTTTGGATTTTAAGATTTAGTTGCGCGTTTTAACATTTCCGGATTATTAATTACAATCTCGAGAATTGTACATTATACAATTATGTCTCTCTTATAAACTGTTTCGGGTATCAGTCATATTCGCGACGCAGTTACAGCAGTAAAACAAAATTGTTCACTAACGAATCTCTGTGAATTAGTAAATTTATGTTTACACAGTATCCGGAGTGAACGTTTGGCTTTCTCAACTACGCCTGAAATAGATTCAATGATATTTACCGTGTGTCTCCACAAGTAAATTCTCGATTTTCACGGGGGTAAAGCAGACCCGGTGATGAAATGAGCTTGCTCGGCGGTATCATGACTGTGTAACGGGTCTTAATGTATAAGTGTGCTCGGCGGTAGGTTCAGACAACGCGGATCCTCAAAGCATGTGCTCGTGGTATATTCGTGTTTTAACACCCGTGGATTTTGGTGTGTTTGTTTAACAAATTTATAAATAAATTAACACATGTTCAACTTTTACAAATTAAAATGTTCCTACACCGAACTGACCCCTAAATTATATTATTAATCATATTGAAGCAACTCGAGGCTTCAAAAAGGGTTATTTTCCATTATGTATGAGGATTGTTGAATACCAACTTACATTTTCAAGTAAAGAACTGAACCATTGAAAACATAAGGGTCGATTCTTCATTTCAGCTTGTTTCAAAATAAACACTAAATACAATACACTATTTGTTTGATTTTTTAAAGAAATATGAGTAGGGAATATTTGTTTTGATTTTATATTTATGAATAGAACCCCTAAAGTCATAGTGAGAGGATGTCGCGACAGCACATAATGTACGTGAGACAACACAACTTTATTGAAGTATTGCTATAGGCACCGCATAAAGGCAAGTGTTTGTATTTGTAACAGACTGTTTTAAATGTGTTATAGTTAATTCTTTATGGTCTACCCGATAGGTAGAACAGCCATTTTTGAGAAAATATTACATAATTATGTTACATACATTAACATGAAGAAACTAAATATATTGGAGACAGAAACGTGTCAAGGGATACATAGATGCTGATAATGTAAGTATATTGAGATTGTCTTTAATATGAGGTTCAGGATATTGGGATAATTCCGAGGTCCGAGAGTATCGGGTAAAAAGAAATATTCCTTTTTATTAATTGGAATTACTTTTAAAACAGTGGCACATGCACTAAAAATATGGTACATCCACAAATACACATTCATATTGTATAATTAACCAATTCTTAATACGTCAAATATATTAAATTACTAGTTTATATAAACTTGAAACAAAAAGAACATTTATCAACCATGTCATCATAAATGTTTATAAGTATTAGAATGATAATTTCAAATTGTGAAAAAAAGGATTTCGGCATGTCGTGTTTAATATATCTAACGATGTACAAATCTATCGACAGCCCAACTCGATCTTCACATCTAAAGACATTCTGTCGATGGTTTAGTAGGCTAATGGTGTACACAATTATTATTAGTAAAAAATTATTACTTTTTCCGATAAACGCTATTATATTTATAATATTAAGCATCGATTTGGTTAGAACTGATCTACTTTATATAGACACTTGTAGACGCCATATTTACTTCCAGGGTTAAGCAGCAGAAATTTATACAAAGTCGCACAGGCGAAAACAAAGATGATTAAGATGAAACATTCAATTTCCTTACAATGTGTGATATTAAAGTCTGTATCCATGGCAACCATAACATCTGTAGATGATACCGATAAGCATGCCAATCCAAGCATGGGATACGTGCACTTTCAATAATCTGCCTTCATACTCTATGGAAATGATATTACTATCACAGTAAACGTAATTGTTTAACTACTGACGAGGCTACATCGTGACATACACTACCAAGAAACTCCATCATGGGTTCGACTGGCGTAGATACGGTGGAAAAACTAAGAGAGCTTATAGACAAACACGCGTTTGATCTAACTCAACAGTTGGATGTTAACACACGATTCCTTACATATTTGACGAAGAGTCACCTGCTCTCTCCATCAGAATTGCTGCAATTTCAGGTCAGTCAATATTTTGTGAATGACATCATCGATTGTTGAGCTTACTTGGCTCTCTCTCTGTACTCCCATCGGCTTACACTCTACACTGGGTAATGTGTAGCAATTAAAAATCATTTCATTATACTCTGTTACATACCCTGCGTGCAGAGTCTAGTTAAACTACACTCTGCCTAGTAGAGACCATATTACAGTTTAGTAGCCCCGCCCCCACGACGGGTACCGCCTTGTACCGGTGACAGTTTAGGTAAATCACTTTTGACCTACGCGCTGACCTTACACCAATCAGCGAGCTTGAAAACATACGCCAAATGCGTTCTAATTAAATATGCGCATGTCATTGGTCAATTCCGGGCTCAACGATGACGTCAGAAGGAATGGCCATATAAAGAACGTCGGTCAAATTTGGCCGACGAACACTGATTGGCGCGGTGAGTTCACAGGTTTATTTTAGTTTGAAAGAGTGAAGACGAAGCTCTCTTTTAAGAAGTGAAGTCAAACGAATGCAAAGGGTATCTGTTACATGGGCACTTCACAAACACCAGTGCATTTCCCAACAATATACGTCTAAGTGAAACTTGATCAGTCGATCGTATGGTCAAGGTTACATCAAAAACATTTAATTAATTCCTGAGAAATGAGAAATTAATTGAGCTATGAGTTAAGTAGCTGCATTTGTATCATTTTAACTGACAAGACTATGAAAAAATATTTGGACAAATTATATTATCCATTAATCAATTACTTGAGCAAATACTAACTTTCTCCTTTCTCCTTTCAACGTATGTTCAAAATATGTTTTTGTTATTTTTAGAGATACGAATCCCAGACAGACCGAGTGAGGACCATTTTGAAGATACTACCAGACAGGGACAAACCCAATGCTAGCTTTGCGTTCATTGAATCGCTGAGACAATCAGGCCAGGAAGACCTCGCCGTGTTGCTTATGGGAGGGAAGTCAGAAGTTGATGTGATATCTCATTGTAAGTGTTGAATCCAGTGTACAACACATTTAGAATTATATCTTAATTCTTCTCTATTCTTGAAATTTCTTGTGTAGACAGAGTGTATCATGGAACAAACTCAGGTGTACAATCCAGTAGTAAAGGTGGCATGTTTCGTCTATACTCGGAATAATTTTATCGAAATTATGATGCCTATTTGATGAAAAACTGACACACAGAAGAAATTCTCATTTTTGAACGACTTCGTGTGATAATATGCCTTATAATTATAACTGTATATAACCGGATGTATAATACTATAGCCTGGCATTAGTTGGTCAAATTATTTCATTCTATTTTGGTGACTTCTAGTTTGCGAACTTATAAGAACAGATGTTGTCAAACTTTTGAACCAGGAAACAAAAGTATTCATCAAATATACAATTACTGTATAGATATTTTAGATCTGATACCATTGTCTGATCAAATATTGTTATGTCATTGTAGATCAGAGTTCCTTGCAGCTCCAATTCCATGAAATCAAGAGCCATTTAAAATCGGAGGTCTCTGAGTTAAAGCATGGCATTGCAGATCCTGAAAATGGCAATGCATCGTCAACAAGAGTTCTGCTGCAATTTCAAAACATTACGGAATCCACCATTAAACAATTAGAAAATTGTGAACAAATCTTGGATCGACTCCACGAGGATTGTTTGAAGATTGCAAAAGCGAACATAGACATGCTTCGAAAAATAGAGACTGTGGACTCTACCATACGTTCGGTACTAGACGTAGGTAGGAGATCGTATTTCCCCAAAAAGAAAGCCTTTCCTGGTCGAGCAGAATCAACGCAACCAAATAACACAACGGATCATTCTGTTAATATATCTCTAGGTATTCATAGCAAATACAACTATAGTGGTAGAAAACTGCAAGAGACCTCTGTTGTCACACGGCGGCCCGTTGCAAAAATCTCAACTGGTGGGGAATACATCAAAACATCGGATTTCCGCACTTGTGTACAAATATCGGAGAAACTTTTGAAAGAAATTAAAGAGGGTTTAAAATCAGAGACAAATCCACAATATGGAACTAAGTTATTGGTGGCGGGAAAAGAAACTAGCTTTAAGTACCAATCTAGAGTACGGCCAGTAAGAAGGAATCAAACATTTGGAGCGAAAACCAGTATCCCTAGCAAAGTTGGGCTCAAGAATATTTTGTTGGAACGTCTTATGGAGATTGATTCCAATTTCCACTCGTATGCAAATCGATTGAAACGTTCTAGTAAGGGACGGGGATTAAATGCTAACAAACCTTTAGTGACAGGTAATCGATCACGGCCGTTAAATGAATCAGAAACAGTTGTACCCAAGAAGAAAACCAGCAAGGGTGTCCAAACAGATAATAGTATGCACTCTGCACAAGAAGAGCGCAAAATTGCTGAGCGAGCGTCTCAAATAGCCAAATCACTCGACCAAAGAAACAATGATGATCTTGTGAAAATATTAGATCAAATGCATAGAACAATAACTGAACGCATTGTGTCACTTACAAGCAATCTTAAGCTGTCAAGACGCTCGAGACCATTATCAGCAGGTCAGGAAAGCCATGGAGATACAAGTACTCACCGGTCGTCTGCCATTAATAACCATCAGTCTACCAAAATGAAATATGATTATCGAGCAGCTGGTAACCAAAGAACGGTTGTTCTACTAAGAGACTTTAGTAGAGAACTTAAAGCATACACAGAACTAGAACTTCAGCTATCGGAAGCGATTTTGAATGAAAAGAGGAAGACATCTCAAAAAGAAGAGATTATAAAAATTAGAGATAACGAACTAAAATCATTTAAACAGATAGTGACAGCAATTGAAAGTGAAAGAGATACGTTCAAACGGCTTTATGAACGGGCGAATAAATCAATTCCACTAAAACCTATACGTGTTGATCCCAGACGCCATGGTGCAAAGGTACCGGAACAAACTCCAACTAATGTTAGCGAGGAGCATGAAAAGCCAGAGGCAGAACAAAAGCACCCTGTTGTTACGGTTGATGTTTGAAATCATATTGACTCATATGTCTTCAGTACACAGATATTTTTCCTTGGGACACTGAATGTGTAAACTGCTATGTTTGGATTCTAATAAAGTCAACTGATAACGGTCAATGTAACAACATACCTGTAACAAACTAGGGGACTGTATTAAATACCTAGGGACTGGGTATCCTGAGAAATATATAAAATATCATAATGTATAACGACAATATGGCTATTTATTGATTATATGCCAATATTAGTGTTATAACCAGCATTCGTATTTTCTATATCAGTCAAATATTTTTATGTTTTATTTTTATATTTAATTATATGCTTTTGCTATTTAATCTCCATCGGATATCTTATTTTGATTTTAAAGTAATTGAAATATGTTTATTTGTGAGGGCAGTTCTTTTGTAAATAACTGAGATAATCGCATTTAAGAATTAAAAAGGTAATTTCAGATCACTTTTAAATATCTAGTGGGTCGCAGTGGACTGTATACGTATTGGCATCTTTTTCCAAAAATGGGTTTCCCTGATGCTTGGAGAGTAACATCACTATTTATTGTATATTTGTTCCTTGGAGAATAACATAACTTTTTATTGTACATGTTCACATATCACGAATTTTATTACACACATCAATAATGTGTTTTATGATTGTTTTAAAGATTCTGTACAGTATACACTAGCCCTCTGTAAAGATAGTTTTGTGTAGTTGATCTTCAAAGCCTTTATTTACAAAGGTTCTTTGGGTTTGGCCTTTGTTACCCGGACATTTCAAGATTGTGGATGAAATATAACATTTGGAATATTCGTGTAAAATAGTTTTCAATAAGAGGGGCTCTGAAAGTCCTGCACAAAAATCTCATTCATTACAGAAGGTACGAAATTACAGTTTTATATTTATACAAATATATAATAAAATGAAATTTAAGTTGTACATATATATACTTTCTTCACTAAAAATGTTATATATTAATATAATATCAACTATTATATAATGGAGATGATCTTCCACACATTCTACTTGTGAATAACAACATTACAGCTGTACATGTCGATCTTTAGTTTGTTTTTACAGTTTCTGGATTGTTTATTTGATGAAGGTAAATCTACAACAGTTCAGAGATTAGAATTCTATGATTTATGGCATACCATATTACCGATGTTTTTTAGGATTCGAAACTAAAATACGATTGGGGTCTTTGGCAGTATGCAGAATGAAATCTAAGCTAATATATATATTGCCATAAATCAGAAATTCGTTGTCTCTTTTACGATAATTCATAATATAACAAATCGGAAAACAGATATTTGAAGACAAGGGTCAAACACAAACCAATATATATATCACATTCCAATAACTCCATTCATTACAATGTCATTAACAACTCATTTATCATATAGGAATCGTTAAATACATCACATATATTTACTTTCACCATGAATAAAATCGTAATAAAAGTGGCATTAATTTTGTCGAATCTGCCTCGATGTCGATATTCCTTGTGGTAGTTTACCAATTACATCATTAATAACGTTTTTCTTGATATGTATTTCTTGGAGTAAAATACATTAATTCGTTATTTGCTAGCATTGTTCATTAGCATCGTCTTTGTCGAACTATCCTACTACAAATATCACTTACTTATTTCACAGTATTTACAAAAGTGACCTTCACATCACGCCATCCGGTCTTGTAAACTTAAAGCAATCTAAAGACGAGCTGTCTCACCAATGAACTCGTTGACAGCACAAATAACAATATAATAGATTACAGGTGTAATATGATTGAAAGATGGCATGACGTTATTTCAAAATTCGGGAATCAACTCACACTTCAATATTGTTTCAATATCTGTCACTATTGAGTCGTTATTGTCGAATTCACAACCTCTTCAGTGTTTTGATTTTGTGGTTATATTAATTATTCACATGGAGTTTCCTGATATCGATGAAGTTATCGAAAGTTGATATATAAAACTCGCTACACTACCAAACTCTGCATTTCGACGTCGGGTTCATTCTGTCACCAGCCTTGCAGCTGAAGGCCTTTGCGAAGTCCGGAGAATTTGAAACTGAGCCGATCACCCTACAAATATATTGATATAGCAATAGTTTGTACGAGTACTTTGAACTTACTTAAATTGAAAATTCACTTCTACAGTAGTTAAATGTAATTTTATTTTTTATTATATGAACAATCAGTCAACACTTAATCTACACCTAGATTCAGTATAATATATCATTTATGTTTCAAAATAAAACATAAATTATCATGTATTTGATTTACAAATCGATGAATACATGTACATATATTTATCCCATACTTGGACGTGTTACAGGTACATAAAGCCGGTTTGTAAAAACTTATATTTTCATCAGCGGGCAGATATAGCTTTACGTCCCGCTCCGAGCGGGCAGATATAGTATATCTGCCCGCTACGTCATAATCGCCGCTCGTATATTTGTTCATAATTTGTAACGTTCGCGTAATGACTGTAAACGACAATGGAGAGAACACAGACAATCGGGATCTGTTTGATGGTTTAAAAAAGGGAAGGAGCATCCACTTAAAACATTCGAGAAAATAGATGTGGGAATATTTGAGAGAACAGAAAAATCCGCCCACGGCCAAGAAAACAAAACTGGACATGAATATTCTAAAATATTTCCACGATTGAACAATGTGAACCAGATGACCAAGATTGGTATGGGATAAACATATTATCCTATAGTCGGTTCAGGATATTGGGATTATCCCTTGGTCAATATAATATATTTTCCCTCGGGACCTGCGGCCCTCGGGCAAATATATTATATTGGCCTCGGGGTAATCCCAATATCCTGAACCTCATATAGGATAATCTCTATATATACACATAAATCGTCAACTGGTGTCTTTATATACAAGTTACGTCATGTTATGAATTCAAATTGTTAAACAGAATCTTGTTGAATAACATGTAAGATATTTTAATTTTAACATAACTAGCGTTATACTATGTGTTAAATTTACTCTATAGGTGCTTCAACTAGCTAAGAAACTTTAGATTATTGGGGAATATAATTGAAAAACCTACAAAAATACGTGAAATAATAAATCAGTGGGTGGTATCGTTTTGGCCTCGAAAAGGCAATGGAAATATAGTTATACAAGGTTTTTCAATCAATTCAACAATATACAAGGCATTAACATGACAAAATGTCACCACCACCTTGAAAATTTAATCAATTTGAAGCATGCTGGAAAATACATAATTTGACCTTTTTCGCCTTGAGAGGTCATTGATGGTCAAATCTAAAATCTATAGTCAGATTTGAACTTCTGAGAATTCGTAGATGATTTAATCAATTTGAAGCAAGTTGAAAAAATACCCTTTGACCTTTTTTTAATCTAAAGACCTTTTTGATATTTTTTAACTTGAGAAGGTCATTTAAGGTCAAATCTCAAATCTAAAGTCAGATTTGAATTTCTGAGAAGTTGTAGATGATTTAGACAAAAAAATTGGACAATTTGAAGTTAGTTGAAAAATACCTTTCTGACCTTTTGTGACCTTCAAAAGGTCATTGGTGGTGACATAAAAACAATGAATGCGTAAAGCATGGGGTTTTAGTTGCGCATACGCAGGTATGTATTTTTCTAGTGTGCATTGTTGAGTATTATACTGATGTACTGTGAAAGTTACAGCACTGTGCTCCAACAGGAACGTGGTGCTGGGTTGAGCCAAATGTGGTTAGTGGTGGATCAGGTCTGCACGAAAAGTCTCAAAATGCTGGACGAAAAGTCTCAAAATGACCAACTTAAAATGTGATTATTGCCCCTCAGTCAATTGCTTACGCATCCCCTTGTCACACATCCATGTCATCTTCAAATAATTATTTGTTATATGATGTTTGCGACCAACACTTAATAAGTCATGTCTGCAATTTTTCTGATAGGAATTTATCCAATATTTATTTTATTGTATCAATCTGACAAGGGGAAGTTACAGCTTTTGGAAACCCCTATCTGGGTTCATCTTCAACTGACTTTCTCTCTAGAACTTTATATAAAAGACGTTATATAAAGACGATACACATCAGGTCGAACGCAGATTTTAGGACGTCACTGACAACCATTGTTAAAAACAATGACAAATTATTTATGTAAACGTTTATCTCCAGCAACAAAATTAACATGCTTGACCACTAGGCCACTTCACGAATAAACGAATATTAGCATTCCAGAAATAAACAGGTATCATTAATATGTATTAAAAGTATCACTACAAAATTATTAAAACCAACAGAAACATGGGTTATATTGAAATCATGCTTATTACGAATCACGACAACTGTCTACCTTTCTCTCCCTGGACTGTGTCTACCTGACGCTATTGAACTATACAGAGCTTCAGGTCTGGCTGTACCACACCAAATCTAAAAATTAAACTCTTACTGTAACATTTGTTTGACACAAGGAAGATTGGGGTCTTCTATGCCCAAACCTCGAAAGGGATAACTAGAGACCGAGTTTGATGGCGTCCTTCAAAACTATCAGTATACGAAAACTCTGCCTGAGCTCCATGGCTGTTGCAACGACAAAGCGTGTGATCCTCAAAGGCCACATGGTATGACATGATCATTACTACACGTGAGTATTTAGGGTATTAGGGATGGGAATGCCAAAATGAGAGAACCCCAAAATACAATAATTCGCAACTTCAAAAAATATAGTATTTTCAACCATTATAACTATCCAGGGGTTTTTCTGTTATATATCTAATGATCGTTAGATTTGAAAATATTTATTGTTTGATATAAAGCAAAATCACGTTCATTCGGATCAGAATAGAGCAATTCCTGTGAAAATATAACTATACAATTAGGTGGTTATCTCAGTTATAAATTTAATGATCAAAGACCGAACAAAAAACACACTTTTTCAATAAAAAATGGCATATCTTGTATGAAAATTTAATGTTTTAGAATTATTAAAAATATTTTGTGACATCATCGTAATTTCATTCAGGTGGGAAGAACCTAAATAAAACATGTTCTACGTCAATTGTTACTAAATATATATCCTATACCTAAAAAATAACCCACGTTGATTGTCTAAATAAATTAAAAATAAAACACACGGTGAACAATATCGCACCCTCGAATAAACTTTCATAGGTAGAAACATCCCTGAAAATTTCAAATGAATCCATCAAACGGTTTGGCTGGAAACCTGTAGACAAGCCTTCACAGACAAGATTTTAGGATGAAAAATCCAAAATGGCTGCCTTAACATTTACCAAGAATGCCGAAAAACTAATCAGTTCTAAACATTTATAGGTAGAAACATCCCTGAGAATTTCAAATGAATCCCTCAAACGGTTTGGCTGGAACCTGTAGACAAGCCTTGACAGACAAGATTTTAGGACGGAAAATCCAAAATGGCCGTCTTAACATTTATCCAGAATGTCGAAAAATTAATAAGTTCTAAACTTTTATAGGTAAAAACATCCCTGAGAATTTCAAATGAATCCCTCAAACGGTTTGGCTGGAAACCGGTAGACAAGCCTTGACAGACAAGATTTTAGGACGGAAATCCAAAATGGCTGTCTTAACATTTGTCCAGAATGTCGAAAAACTAATCAGTTCTAAACTTTCATAGGTAGAAACATCCCTGAGAATTTCAAATGAATCCCTCAAAAGGTTTGGCTGGAAACCGGTAGACAAGCCTTGACAGACAAGATTTTAGGACGGAAATCCAAAATGGCTGTCTTAACATTTGTCCAGAATGTCGAAAAACTAATCAGTTCTAAACTTTCATAGGTAGAAACATCCCTGAGAATTTCAAATGAATCCCTCAAACGGTTTGGCTGGAAACCTGTAGACAAGCCTTGACAGACAAGATTTTGTGGACGGAAAATCCAAAATGGCCGCCTTAACATTTACCCAGAATGCCGAAAGACTAATCTGAGTTCTAAACTTTCATAGGTAGAAACATCCCTGAGAATTTCAAATGAATCCCTCAAACGGTATGGCTGGAAACCTGTAGACAAGCCTTGACAGACAAGATTTTAGGACGGAAAATCCAAAATGGCCGCCTTAACATTTACCCAGAATGCCGAAAAACTAATCAGTTCTAAACTTTTATAGGTTAAAACATCCCTGAGAATTTCAGATGAATCCCTCAAACGGTTTGGCTGGAAACCTGTAGACAAGCCTTGACAGACAAGATTTTAGGACGGAAAATTCAAAATGGCCGCCTTAACATTTACCCAGAATGCCGAAAAACTAATCAGTTTTAAACTTTCACAGGTAGAAACATCCCTGAGAATTTCAAATGAATCCCTCAAATGGTTTGGCTGGAAACCTGTAGACAAGCCTTGACAGACAAGATTTTAGGACGGAAAATCCAAAATGGCCGCCTTAACATTTACCCAGAATGCCGAAAAACTAATCGGTTCAAACCTTCCTAGGTAGAAACATCCCTGAGAATTTCAAATGAATCCCTCAAACGGTTTGGCTGGAAACCTGTAGACAAGATTATTCGGGACGCCCGCCCGCCCAACCGCCCGGCAAATTGATTACAATATAGCACCTTAGGGTGCGATAAAAAGAACAATGTATTATGTTATCAATATTAATGTTAAAATTTTGAATTGCATCTTTCTCTGAACCATTTTCATCATGCATGGATGAGTTCATTTCTCGCTTGTTTATCAATTTTTCGGCCAAAGGGATATGCATTGATGTGAATTACCACTTATTAAGCGATAAGTGCGAACCTTGAAAGTTTTCGAACAAAATAGTCTTTCTGAATCCAAATTTTTAAATTAAGATAAAAGTTTCGTATATTACATTTTGATAACATTGGGTAAGGCTATATCAAGAGCTAAAAGTGGTTTAAACTTTATATGGGGGCTTTAACGTTCATCTCAAAAACGGGTTCCCAAACATTTAAATGGTGACCTAGTTCGATTTGATATTAATCCAAGGCTATTTTAGATTCTGATACAACTAAGTATAAAATTCCCGTGTGTTTCCCTAATGCTGATGGCCATTCTCCACATCTTTGAAATTACGTGTGCAAAAAGCACTGATACATTACAATTTATACACTCAAGCGATATTACAAGGAATGCGTTGTGCACAAAATCTTTTCATAAATATCAGATGGTATCACAATATCATAACTTATAATACTCCTGGTCCCATTTCTATATTATTTTTATTATTAGAAAAAAGACTATGTTGTCCAGCGAGTACACTGACTGAGTATATTCCACACACCGTCTGAAACGCCATAATTTATCAAAAAATATCAAATCTAAATTACATAGTACGTTTCCAAAAATACTAGATATATAGAATAAAGTTAACGTTTGTATTCTTATTTTTTGACGTTAGTCAAATTTCGGAATTTGTATTTCCAACGTTATGTAGGGGTGGATCTCACTAGCTAGACCTTATATCACTCACAAGTCTGATTACGTAAGGGTTTCTTATACTATAATATAAAATGTATTTGCTAATCATTGAACTCAATGAAGGGCAACTAGAGGTGTACCTCTAATTATATAGAGGTTCTAACATGAGAAACCGTGTAAGAGTAGAAGCATGATGGATACGCAAAGCAGCGTTTATTCTAAAACAAGCAATGCAATAAGTAAATTCATTTTGCACATGTGATTTTTTTTAAGATGAAAATGGGTGGATATTCATGGAGTAAAGATGACTGGATCTGGGTTAGTCATATGGGAAAGCAGCATATTTCAACATAGATATAATTTGTTATACTAATGTATCATCAATACCGGAATTTGTTTAAACTGTGGACCCCAGTTAAGATTCGACTTCTGGCTGACTCAGGACGGTACTTTCCACACCAAATCTATGAGAGCATGCAAAACACACAACAAAAATCAATAATATAGAGGACATGACAAACATAATAACAAATTCTTCAGTGCTGTTAACATGCCTTGAGAAGACACAAAAGTATATCATATTCTAAACTACGGTTTTCTGCAATAAATAACATTCACATTAAATAAGATTCATAGGGAAAGGTTTTAAAATGTAATAATACTGTAATAGGTGAATATATTCGAGATACATCCTTGAAGTAACGTGTCTGACGGGCCAGGTAGGCAACATTAACATCGAATGAATGTTTGAGAAATTGGAGTTCGGTTATTAAAAAAACATATTTCTTTATATTTATTTCTAAATTCTCAGTTTAGCTAATGTACTGCACATATGAAAACATGAAATAGGCCTCTACCTTGTCAGATATAACATAAACATGAATCTAGTCATTAATAAAACAAATTATTCAATACCTGCGCGAAGTTGAGAAAGAAGAGCTGATTGTTAGTCAAATCTAATCCCGGAAGTTTTTGCTCCTCTTCACCTTGTTTCTTCACCCAATTCCTATATGCCTGCAAAACAAAATATTATTCTGTATGCATACTTGATTCTTCAACCAATTCATGCGTAAGCACATATATAAATATGCAGGAGAAATTCTTGAATATTGACATGCCAGTTTGGAAGTACATCTAATGAAATAAAAACCTCGCGGAACTGATGTTCTGATTATTACCTTAAAAGCTTGCTTCAGTCCGCCATTATCTGCAATATTTTCCCCTTGTGTATTAATCCCATTTAGCTGAAATTATAATAACAACTAGAAAACAGCAACTCCACGGAGTAGCTAATTCCAATGGACACTATAACATATATCAATCTGTATTTGTCATAAAAAGTATAAACCTTTGGAAACATTAGATATATCAGAATTTCTACCAATTTTAAAAGCATTTGGGTGACCATTTAAGAGTTTAAAAGGCACAAACAATTTAAATTTTCCTTCGAAATGAGTATAATATAGCCATACTTTAACTCACATAAGACGGCCATTTTGAGCTTTACGAGCCCCAAATTACGAAACAGATATTGAGCTTTACGAGCCCCAAATTACGAAACAGATACTATAATTCCAATTTAGTCTAAATTGCCTTTCATTTAAGTATAATAAAGATATACTTTAGAAAGATCTCAAAATTAACGCAAATTCCCGTTTTCCCGACCCGCCATACATGGCCCCTGAGGGTCATGGTGAAAAACTCAGAATATATATGAAATAGATAGATGTTCTGAACATACAATAAAACAATAATATTTATTACTTTGGTTTAAAATGAAAAACTTTAGAATGAAAAAAAAAGATTTTCACACAAATTCCCGCCATTTTTAAAGCAGCGGCCATCTTAGAATTTTTTGTTGCGTACAACTATTCACCAATATCCATATTTGCACCAAATGTGAAGAAAATCCGTCCACAAGTTATTTTCCGGACGGACTGACTGGCTGACGGAGGGCTTTACTATATCCCTACCGAACTTCGTTCGTTGGGATAATTAAACGTTACTAATATAACAGTAACAATAGTTCATATAGTATTATTTTACTTCAACTGTGTTACTTAATGAAGTATATTAAGTATTAGACCTAATGAACTAATGCGTAATACAAGTACTAGTATGGTATCCGCGAAAATAGCTCTCTTGAAATGTGTTCATACAAACTCGTCAACAGATTTACCACATTACCTAAATGTAATCTAAAATTACCTAAAATTACCGAAATGTAATGTTCTCGGACACTATGTTGGGTGAATCATCACATATAAATACCTGTTTTGAAACTTACATTCATATCTATTTCTTTAACGGTATAGTTGCCATATTGGTTAATTATACATTGTGCCCTTTCCTTGAAATTTTCTACAACACGAGGAGACCACCATTGTCTCAAATTGCCATCCTTATCGTATGTTCTTCCTGGAATGTAGAGCTTGGTTAGTGGCCCGAGAAGAATTTTACAACACCTCGAAATTACTGTTTATTTTCTCAACATTTTACTGTGTTGGACAAAAGGAACTGTAGCATAATGTTATGAATTCTTTAAATTAAGGCTTATGTGCAGCTACACTTTGAGATTAATATTATTATTTAATATTATTAATGTATTAATAATTCATGTAAAAGGTGTGAAAAATGTTTATCAAATTATTCATGGCCCTTTTTAACAATCGTTGATCATGATTAACTTAAGTAAAACGTTTTTTCTTATTTTAATCTTTGTGTTTTCACAAATTTAGTCCAAGTGGTGGTTACATCGACCAGTGATTTTCACTTAATCCCCATCTATACTACACAGTGTCATTCTATTCTAGTATAGTTTATAAATTTATTAACATATTCAAGTGTGTTATAAAAAGGTAAAAGCAGCCGTACCTCTATCATCAAAACCGTGAGTGATCTCATGTCCGATTACCATTCCTATGCCACCATAATTGAGAGACCTGATAAAATAATAGCGAAATACGACTAAATTGAAATAATACTAAATGAACCAACCTTCATCGTCAAACCCATGTGTAATTTCGTGACCAATCACCATTCCAATTCCACCAAAGTTAAAAGACCTAGAATAAGAAAAATGAACAAACATCTCTTGTGTGTTCCCAAAATGGGCGTTCACAGCATGATGCCTTTATAGTTCAATTAATAAGTACACGCAGCAAACAAAGGATTAAACTCATAAATAAACTAGAAATTAGAAATTAAAGTTTAGAGCTTCACAAATGCATCAACAACAGGTATACCATTAAACCAGGTAACATCTAATATGGAAACCAAACCAAACTGCCTCATGCTGTATCCAGATGAAACAAGACTCATCTGGTTCACCTAAATAAAATATAAAACCAGGCATCACTAAATTATAACACACAAATATTTTGAAATCGCATTTTAGGCAAGACCCACAATTTACAAGGTGATAGGGAAATGTCAAACGTAAAACAAGGTGGGCAAGGGCATGCTTTCAAAATTAACAGCTACACTACTTTATAACATTTTATATTAGATTAAACTTATTTTATTTTGATTAAAAAAGTTTTTATGTTTCTTGATAAAATACTTAAATGTTGATACTTACTTTGGATATCGTTCATAGTAAAATGGTGGCTGTAGAATTCCAGCTGGAAACACTAAAAAAAGATGGCAACAACTATTGTCTCATATCAATATTTTCATAAACTATGTTAGTATTTGCATACTAAAACGGACAAAGGTTTACTATATCTTATAGACTATTTGATTGCATTTTCTAATCTATGAACATAATATGTCTACACAAAGAATAAGCAATAATATAGGCCTATATTCGAGGCAGTATTCCACAATGTCATACAGAACTGTTTTGTAACAGGAATCGTACATTGTAAAAGGTACATATATATTACTTACTAATCTGGTTCTTGGTAGAACTGTAGAATGCATTGACTACTGCAGGGGTAGTTGACCATCTATAAGCAAATGTGTAAACAATACAAATTATTTGTCGTAACAATATAACAATAATACAGCATTTAAATTCCAACGGTGGCTTGGTCACATATTGGCTAATAGCCTGCTTCAGTCAATGCATTAAGTAATACGAACAATTGATTAAAAGTTATAATTTGTCAACTTATGGGAAAACTATATGTTTTTTTCTATGAAAATGGTACATAAGTGTATGATATGTCATAAAATAAATAAAAAAGGCTCAAACCTACTTTGTTTTGTCGACTGGTTTGCCCAATTGTCTAAGGTTCTCTTTAGCAGTATGTCGTATGACACTTAACACATTCTCAAAGTATTTATCTGCTTCAATTGTCAACTGAAAGCCCAAGAATTCTGAATATATAATAAAGCAACAAATAGTAGAAAAACATTCAAACAACGTTTTTATTAAAACCTGAATACAAGAATTATAATCAGTCTGAGATAAATATTTACTTTTTTATTTTCTGACTTTAACTCATTTATTTATTTTGTGCATGGATAGCTCTTCGTGTGAGCTTACCTCAGCGTAGTCTTTGTCAAGGGCAGTGGAGTTCATAATGTAGTTGGGGTAGCCTATTTTCTCAGAAATAGCGTTGGCCTATAAAACAGTTTTGTGCATGCGTTAGATCATAGTTTGAGATACTGAAGGGTGTGGTCTGCTTGTGCTTTAAGTGTGTTTGTTACCATAGTTACTGCTATATTTAAGTAGTCTCTTTGATCTTTCAACTTTTTGCACATGTGCTTACATATATCAATGCAACAAATTATTACGTTTAACACTTTTCAATACCGCTGATAATACATGATAGCAAATGGCATTAGCATCGATAAAATCATTAAAGTGCAGTATATTACCGTTTGTATTACCTCATGTTGCATCAAGTCGTGGTTAGAAGACATACGCTGTAAAGCGTCTTAAATGATGAGGGGATTTGCATTTTACTATTACTACTTGACTAGTTCCATGGAAAATAGGAAATGTGAATTCCGAAAAAGTGTTTAGATAATTTTTCTTTCTGAAAACCTTATTTGAAAAAATGCCATCCATTTAATATTTTGGATCAGGTTGCATTCAAATTGTGATACTTAATAAATTTGAGAAATGAGCATTGGTGTATATAATGTACTCATTGTTGTATTAGTAATGTCCACATACCTTTTCTCTCGCAACTTCTCTGGTCTCTGTATCCATCCAGTCCACCTCTTCAAGCAGTTCATTAAATGCTTCTCGAATGTTACCGATCATCTCCAACGCCTGCATAAAATGATTTAAATGAGCTGTTTGTTTACATTTATATCCAAAGAACATGTGTAAGTTTCTATAGATTTATTATATAGATATAACATATTTACAAAACTTTTTTGGCATGGGGAGACGGCTATCTATCAATAAAAAGGTTGCGTAATTGTATACAAAAGAAACGATTACGTAACCATTGTATAATATTACGCAATAATATTACGCAATGAAAGCGCAAATCCTGATTATGCAAACTTATATAATCGAAATCTTTGGGACAAGAGCCCAAGAAAATGCTTCGTGAACAGCCCCGTGAGGCCGAAAGGGATAGATAGTCGCCTCCAAGTGCAGGCCACCCGATACCGCCTATTAAGGGGGCGAAGGGGTGGCGGTGGGTAAGCGTCCGACTTCCCCAAGATGCGAATTTAAGACTGTGTAAACCAAACTACCACAGGACAGGCGGTATAGCTTAAAGATAAGTTATTGTCCTGGCCTAATTGGATCTGTCAACAGATTAGATGCTAGGACAGACACCGTTCTCCGTGATATAAACCAGATTTAACAAACTTGTTAAATCCCAATTTATATCCAAAGAACATGTGTAAGTTTCTATAGATTTATTATATAGATATAACATATTTACAAAACTTTTTTGGCATGGGGAGACGGCTATCTATCGATAAAAAGGTTGCGTAATTGTATACAAAAGAAACGATTACGTAACCATTGTATAATATTACGCAATAATATTACGCAATGAAAGCGCAAATCCTGATTATGCAAACTTATATAATCGAAATCTTTGGGACAAGAGCCCAAAAACAAGTATACTCGTGAACGGAGTTTAAAAAAAACTCCGTGAACGATAGGATATTTCAAAGTGGCTTTTTCACGTAAAACGCCATCCAAACATCTCTTTTCCAGGGTACAACAAGAGGAATATTGTAAAATTCATAATCTTTCTAATGGTCCTATATATGAATAACAGATGAAAATCTATTTGAAGCTTTTTAACAACAACGTATTTAATTCTATATATTCTACTTACAATTTCTTTCGCACTTTCGTCAAACGCTTTATTCACAAAAAGTTTTCCAACTGCCATTCCAAAATGGTCATTAGCGTATGATACACATTGCCTCCATCTTGACCGATCAGAAGCTGTTCCATAAAGAATCTGAAATAGATATATTTCTTGTAATCAAGTACGCGTTGAAACAAATCATAATCGAAACTAAAATTACATTATTAAGTACTCTCAAAATTATGTGTCTAGTGTCAAGTGAGGTTTGAGCTGATAGATGGCAATCTTATCATGCGTTCAATTTGCTTTCAGTAACATGTAAATATTTCTTACAAATACCAGATATACAATGCGTGGAAAATCCAAAAAACAATTTGATATTGAATATTTCTATATGAAGATGAGCAATATTTTGCAAGAAAAACTGTTATTGATAATCGAGATGTATATTTTAGTTACATCTGTAGCACCCATACCCTAATATACTTTAATTATATTAATTATAAATGCATACTGAAATATGTTTTAATATAAGTCTTACTGAAAAGCCATATTTCGAGTACTTAATCATATAAAGGGTTACATGCAAGCCAACAACCTTCCCTCCACCAACAGTGAAGTCTTAAATTAGAATATGGCCTATCTGAGGGTAAATTCTGAAAGGTATATGTTGATCACTTAAGTCAATAGGGTCAAACATCTAGCTTTTGAAATAAGAACCATATTCCAAAAATACCTTTAGATGACCCACTAAGGTCATAGGAATGACAACTGTGCTAGCCTATCAGTTCGTCTCGGCATACTTTCTGTATTCAGTGCAAGCGATGTTATTTCCAAGTTGATTGTTGACAAGAGCACTGGTGATCCACTCGATTACGCTGGTTACCAAAACGAACCGTTTCGGTAACAAAATGTCGGAACGTCGAAGGTACGATTTTTCTTTTTTCCTTATTTCACGCGTTGTAGGCAGAATCCCCACGATATTTTTTCTCACAACGTACATCAGTATCATATGTTTTTGAAAATGTACGTGTTTGTGAAAAAATAGCTCAGAAGACAACGGAATCGTCGATTTACTTCCTCACTTTAAAAGTTACATAAACGGTTTGGGTTAAAAGTGCAGATCTTAACTGTTTTTCGAAAAAACGTTTATGTAACTTAAGTGAGGAAGTAAATCGACGATTCTGTTGTCTTCTGAACTATTTGTTCGCAAATATGTACAATTTCTTAAACATATGATACTGATACACGTTAGTGTTAAAAATGTCGCGGGAATTCTGCCTACAACGTGTAAAATAAGGAAACGAACCGTTTTGGTAACCAGCGTAATCGAGTGGATCACCAGTGAAGAGGTTGCTTGGAATAGGATAGAGGATAGAGGTTGCTTGTATAGGATTTTCGTTAAATGGATTTGGAGGGAATATGATTCTTTTATTCCAAAATACTACTGTTTTCCCAGGGAAATATGAAGGAGAAAAAATGTTATTGAATCGTATTACATGAAAAAAATCGTATTTTTTCCGGGAGGAAATCGTATTTGAGCGTATTACATGAAAAAATCGTATTGTCCCCGGGAAAAAAATCGTATTGGAACGTATCAACCTCTTTTTGGTTTCCCGGTTATTTTCAATCTTGGTGAATTGATAAAGGCATTATCTAAATGTACACTCCCCTCCATAAGTTTGGCAACCTTTTTTCCCCCATTGAACTACGTGTTAAAGCCTCTTTACCTTTGAATTTTTATTTACTTAACCTGCGATGAAAATACTTATACTATTGATGGAAACGTAATTTGACTTTAATTCCAATACCTCCAAATTTTCTCAATTTTTTCCTCAATTACAATAGGTCGAAAATTGATGATAAATTTGATGGCATTTGAAAATCGACATTCCCATGTTAACCAATGGGAAATGGTAGGTTTGCCGCAAGTCATATGACAGAATATCCATCCATCCGAGTCCTTGCAAAAAATACGAGTTAGGCAGGAAATTGAATTTGCTAACTTTATTTAACAAATAATTGATATGTTTCTTCAGGTTCAACAAAGTTATAGGGCTTTAAAGTCAAAATTGTTTTTCAAAAAACCTCTCCCATTGAAATAACACAGGAGGCAAAAAATTATTTTCTAAAATGACTTTGAAGCGCTGTAACTTTAATATTCATCAAATAAACTAAACACTTAGTGTTCAAAAAAGTTAGACAATTCAATTTTCTATATAAAAATATTTTTTGCTGAATCTTTTACTGAAAAGATATCCTGATTTCTGATTTGCCCCGAAGCCTCCATTTCCCATTGGATTACATGGGAATGACGATTTTCAAAAATTCATCAAATCTATCATCAATTTTCGACCTATTGTAATTGAGGAAAAAAATTGAGAAAATTTGGAGGTATTGGAATTAAAGTCAAGTTACGTTTTCATCAATATTATAAGTTATTTTATCGCCTGTTAAGTAAATAAAAAATCAAACGTAAAGAGGCTTTAACACGTAGTTCAATGGGGGGAAAAGGTTGCCAAACTTATGGAGGGGAGTGTAACATTTCAAAGGAATGTATTATGGAATAAATAGGTTTTTTCTGGTCGGAATTGAATATGGGTTTTATTCTTTGGGCAATATGATATTACCCTTCAGTCAATATCATATTCGCCCTCGGAAAAAAAACATATTCAATCCCTCCCAGTGAATAACCTATATATGTATCAAGATTTTTCAATATCGAAAATAATCCTGGATCTTATACAGCGAAAACTAGTAGTGTCAAGGGATCATTTACAAATATTTCATTCTATGGAGGTGAATAACTTCATGTTCAGCTTTTTACAAATGAAATTGCACGAGGCCTAAGGGGCTAAAGTAATACATTGCAAATGTGGCACTTGTATTCACAAAACGGAAGTTTACCGGTATATCATTTTCTTATATAATTGTCACTATCCTCAATATTGGCATGACAGCCGGTTTTGACTAATTATATAATTGGAAACCTGACAGTGATATAACTAATATCAATATCTCATTTCTATTGTAGAACATTGGATAAACAAATTTTATGGATTCAAACAACCAAGCGTGTCAAATGACAGGGGTTAAGCAGGAATGTTATCACCAAATTTTTAAACCTTGTTGTATTCAAGTTGTTTAGCAGCAAATTGGGATGGCATCGCTATATTTAATCTGGGAATAGTTCTCCACATCAGATAATTCCCTAGTGTCCTTCATAAAATATCACATGTTAAATATAATGCTCATTAAAGTTACATATATACATATTACGTATATGCCTATAAACAACGATACACAGTGTATTATCGAAAATCCATTTGGCACAATAAGATAGAGTATTATGCATTTTGTTTTGATTGGACACAGAAGTGAGTAGCTCCAATAGCAACTTGCCATCACTCGCCACTGACTTATATCCATGGTCCTGCAACTATTCAACTATCACATGGCATTCAAAGTGGCGGACAGCAGTAAGCTTTTCTTATTCAAAATCCGTCACCTTTATGAGTAGTTCCCCAGTGTTTTATACTATCATAAAATGTTATATCGGTTAAAACGAAAAAACTGGGATGTTGATTCTACAAAGCTTGATCACGTGATGACAAAGTCATGTGACCTACAATTTCTATCACGTATCAGAAATCTCACAAAACTATGCGGTTGAAATAAAACAAAGCTGCTGAGGAATAGAAAGCAACATCAATAACATATAAGGGTATCAAATATTAAGTTCCGTCCCCTTGTACAGCCAACACCAAAATATATGGTACATATACCAAGCGTGTTATATAATTTCAACATATGTAGGCTATATGTAAGTGAATTTAACCAATTTGTGGATAGGGCTAGATGTGTAGAAAATAGAGTGACAAGAATAGTGATGAAGACTTTTTTGTATTGTCTTTTTGGCGTATTGCTGGAGTCAAATTCTTCTCATTTTTATAACAGCTGCTGGGAGATGGCACAATAACTATTAAGGACATCATGAAATCATAGGTATTTCATCCAAAATACTTAAGAGGTGGTGAGTTAACATAACTTTGGAAGACATTTCCAATGGTTTATCACACTAGATACCATATATTAAAGTTTCAGCTGTAGCATGGGGATAAAACACATTTGCCACCCTGTATACTATCATATTAACAAGAAATACAAGATAACGTTTTATTGACGTCAACAGGCTCATAAATATAAATCTCGTGTTCACGTACAGTCAATTAAACGGTATATGTAAAGTAATATTCATCTTAATTTTAAAAAACTATTTTTCATAAGCCTCTGACACCAACAAAACGTCCAATGCGATTGTGGAAAACACTACATTCTATTGCATTTTTTACCAAATTGATATTCCTACCAATTCATAATAACGTTTTATAACAAAATAGAAAAATAGATTTGATGACTGCTTAATAGATAAGCGTACAATACTGTTTAGATTTTAATATCTACAGAAACAACCGACAGTTAGGTTCATGCATTACGATACCCACTGGTAAAGAAATGTTCAGACTGTTTAAAATGACTAGAATTGCTCTAGCAATCATAGTAAGCAATTGTAACATGCTGATAATACCTTATGGTATTTTGTTTGAAGATCACGATATTCAAGTGGTAAACTGGTCACCCTGTTCATGAATATCCGCATCGATAAATAGTTCGATAGGACCCTAGATTATACCAGAAATAAATTGTACCTTAATTATAGTAATGTCTAAATAAAAAAGGAAAAACAATCAAGAGTGTTTATATATAAGAATGAATGAATTTTTCTAGATGTATTCTTTAGATACTGTGCATGTGAAATAGGTTGCATTTACGTATCTTTGATGACACATATATCTGAAAATGACGAAGGGTAATTAATAAATCGAAACCATTATTAGGTTAAACATTTTGAAAAAAGTCATGGAGTAAGATGACCTAAATTTTAATTTTTCAATTGTGGCATATTCATGAGGCTAATGAAACGCACTTGCATCACTGGGAAAAAGTCTTGAAATGTATACTATAATGCATTTAATTCCCTTCTACTATTTTGGATTGTATTTAAAGAACACAATACTGAATATATTCAAACGCGAGAAATATTGTTTCAGATTTAATATAATAAATTGCGTTATACTAAATACCACGATTGAATTTTAGGGAAGTAGGCTATGAATGACCTCCTATTCAATTTGTGGGCTGGCATTTTTCAATAAAAATAAGAAAACAAGTATAAAGAATACTTTTCAACATTAAAAAAGTTCGTTGTCTGATTTTTATTCGTCTGCAGAATATCATTCAGAGGAATCAATTTAAAAAAATCGCTGATTATGGTCCAAAGTTCAGGGTGTTGGAGACTGTCATATTACAATCGTAACAATTAGATCGATTCTCTCATTTATGATATCAAAGACATTATTTAGACAGATATTGTGCCTAAAATCATGGACTATACCGTAGGTCTTTAATATTTAGTAATGTATTAGTGCGTGCATTTTGCAAAGTTTTAAGTACGAGTTAAGCATCACATCTTATTCTAATGAAAAAAGTTAGTGTAGTAGTAGAGAAAAGAATAAGTATCAGCATTCCTAGATGGAAATTAGTTGCACTTCTATAAAAAAAACACAGGACACATATGTGTACCTTCACGTAATCTTGTCGTATATCTCTAAAATCTTTGGTCAAACTGGATGCACGATTTGACATAATTCGCCAAGTTAGATAATTAGATAGTAGCCTGTAAAATAATCAACATCTTCTCAATAAATACTTACACAATAAACATAGACATCAGTCTGATATTCAAAGTTGAGATTTCTTTGTGTAGTTAATATCGAAAGATTGGGAAAGCTTCTTCGGTAATTCATTTTGCCAAATCTCTTCTTATTTCAACTGTATAATGTAGTCGTCAGTACTTAATTGAATTGCGACAAATATTCTATAGGATACAAATTTTGGGAGTTTATTACATTTATCGAAAACGTGGTTACCTAAAATGTGAGTTTTATGTAAAAATGAGAATTGACGATCGTTGATATATCATCTCCTAAAATAAATGCAATACAAATGCTAGGAATTGCATTGTCGATTATGTAGCACACTTACATCGTTCATCTTCTGGCATTCAGTTTTAACGATGTATTGAAAAATCGTGTTCATGGGGTTTCAAAAAAGGGAAATAATATATATGCACATTTAGCGTTGGGGGTACATGCCGCTTAGTCTATCGCTGTTCTTGACGTCTTGTGTCTATGATATGCGACCTATTACATTCCTTCCACATGTTTGGCTACCAAAAGTTCCTAGTAAATAGCACTTTTAAGTCAGTTAATATTTTTTAAAGAGGTCTGAAAAATATGAGAAATTTGATGAATTTATCAAATCTCCAAACAATTACTTGGGTCCAAAGGGGAACTTCAGGTCGCCATACTTTTGAATGGGAATGTAGCTGACCTATTCTGCCTGGGCCTAGAAGCAATGACTATACTAAGATACAATCATGACAACATACACAATGCAATAGGATAAACTGTAATGATTCATACAAGTCTTGCATTGAGTACTTCTGTTCCAAAAACGCCTCACAATGCCCCATCTATACAAGAACCAGATACTTAATGCAAGTATTGTATCCTACCAGTGTAAATTAAGTAAATATGGTCCCAATATTCAAAGTCATTAATTTATTGTCAGAGGACTATGTGTATTCAATCAAGGCAAGTAAGTGCAATTTAAAAGGGCTCCAGGCCATCCATGATTCCACTGAAGACCACACTTCCCTTTACACCGGTAGTGTTGCTCAATTTGATATCATGCATGATATGTATGGAGTACCTTAACATAGTTTTCTTCGAGTGCCCTGTAAACTCTGGCAAGACTCGAAGTGCGATACATCATGAAACGCCAAATTACAAAATTTGCGATTATGCTGCAAAATCAGATACTTGTAATTCTAAATGTATAGCTTTCAAATATTCTAGGGTACAATATTTTTTATTAATCCAAAAATTGCAAGTTAAACTACTTTCAATTTTGTATTCATTCTAGTTATACATACCGTTTGGGTGTACGTTCAATGAGCGGAACTAATTTTCTGAAGTAGGCAGGGGCGTATACTACAACCTCATCTTCTGGTGTCAGAGTTGTGCCCACTTCGTTGAACATGTCATTGAGGTATTTTAGCCAATCGATCTGAAATGAAACTCCTACAATTATCCGCGGCTGGAACAATCGACTGTATCTAATAAAAACAGGGCACTTTAATCGTTTAATGAATGAAAGAATTCAAAATAATTTTAAAATTGAAAAGGATATTTAAATTTTCTTCATTCTGAAAACAGTTTCAAAATTTAATTTGATACTTACTCCTGATATATTCTTTTGTAGAAAGTCAATGGTCCATTTGTTATATAAGGCCTCTGTGTCTCTACGGTCTTCTTGGGGAATTGTTATCTAGGGACGCACATATTAGCAAATAATAATACGAAAGTGCATCTCATTTACTTTATTGCTCATTTATATAATATCGGCCACATAAACATTGGCTTTATAAAAAAAAGTTATATAATCATTTTAGGAATTTAGCATATCTAAGGGAATAAACTAATTGATTCGGATGTATTCATTTTGCTATTCATATGAACAGCGCTTTATGCAATCATAATAAAACACATTTAGTTTTTCTTAACTACAAATAACATCTGATTTGATCAAAATTGAAGACATATTCATGAATGTATTAACATGTATAATCCTAGCTATTGGCTGATATTCTTGTATTTTTGTTGTTGTCATCATCTTTTTGGCCAAGTCACTTACATTTGCTAGTTCTATTTCAAAGTCTATCATATCTCCTATTTCTTTTTCTACGTAACTTTTATCAGCATCTTCATCTAGCAGCATGACAAATCCTACGGCATAGTCTTCATATGCTTTCACATTTTTATCTTCTCTACCTTTCAACAAGTAGTCACGACTTGGCATACCTAAAGCCGCTTGGTCGACCTGTATGTTAAGAAACAACAAAACTTTAGATATACCAATTATTTATATTCGATGAATGGCTTTCGGGCTTGCCTTTGCAGGCTGAGACTCTGACAAGCTATGATTTAATATTTAAGATTATGCAAGTCTTGGTCGGAATAGTTAATCGGTAGTCCAGCAAGAGGCAGAGATGAAATGGCAGATCTGCTGGTCTTCCATGCTTTTGGCTACCTCCTAACAAGTATGTTGAAGAATATACCATACTAAATGATGGATTACCAATTCGATAATAAAACCTGTTTCGAGAATGATATTGTGTGACTGTAAAATGTGTGATCAAATGTAATTAAATTGAAAATAAATGTTTCTATCATTTAAAGTTTCTTGTTTGTATTTATCATTCGTATGAACTGTGACAGCTGGAATTTGTCTGTCCTACAGTGAACTTAATCGTCAACCTTGTTTGAATACTGATATTGTATCTACAACTACCTTTCTTTTGCAAACTACGTTCAAAATGTGTTATCTTTTTCCTTGTGAAAGAGATACAGAAGATGATGGGCGTAATACTGACCTGAATAATGTTAGTGCTGGAGTTTTTGTCATCCGAACTGACCCATTGATTGAGCAACACTCTGTTGTTATACAAACGCAACTTTGAAACGGTTGACAGCCAATCAAATGTGCTTTCGTTCCAAGTTGACCAACTGACATTAAGAACTGGCCATCCTCCCAGCTCCACAATGAGATCCTGTGCCGGTTTATGACTCCTTTCCTCTATATATGCTACAATGAATAAAGGGCAAAAATCTGATCTTGTCTCGATAAACAAAAGAGATGCACTGAACAGTGTGGATCGACTTTCTTCTCCGGTTCTGATCTTGAAAAAGTCTAGGTGAAAGTATACTGATGTATAACAAAACATGTGAAAATTAGATAAATCAGAAAGATTGACTGTTTGGTTATTTCTAAAAAAATTAATATAACATTACTTTCAATGGCAAACTCCTTTTTACGTTTAAAAGACTGTGATTATTCTATGGGAATACAAAAGTATTAATGGTAATATTTATAAAAGTTCACCGTCCGGATCTTCAGAAGAAAAAAAATAAGTTAGAATATTATGAATCAATGGGAAATTATTATCACGTCATTGTATATAATGACTCAAATTGCCAAAAATGTTTTGATAGATGAACATGACTGTGTCTCATACAAAAAAAGATCAAAAAATGTATTATGGTCTGTTAAAAATGAAAAAAGTCTCTAGGAGTTTAAGAATTTAAAACCCAGCACTTCAATCGATTTCGCCACGCGGCGTTTGAACAATCAAATGGATTTTTTCAAATATATGAATAATTTTAGAAAAGGTTGTACCACTACGCTTACGAAAAAAACTTTAACTAAATTGACGTCAGAAATTATACTCAACTTTTTTTGTTAATGCAAAACCCATTCAAAAAATCTCCTAAGTAACATTCTAAATCATTTACAAAGGAATGTGGTCTCAAATAACTGCAAGTCTAAGGTCAACTTGAAACTACGAAGTGCTGACGTGGGCTCTTATCACAAAAAAACGTCGATTATACAAGTGATTGTCCTCTTACTATCCTACTGGAGATTGACTTTGAACTACATTTTAGTACTTTTACTATAGTGTACTTACATTCATTCATACATGATTGGAAAACATTTTTTGATTTAATAGTGGCATCTGAATCTTCATCATCTACAGGTTTCTCCAACATATCTGAAAACAAGCGACTGCTTTTTAGAAACATGATATACCCATAATATCTCATTTTTATAGTAATATCAAGTTTTTGAAATCAATATGAGCAATACACAGTTTCTAATTTACACGATTATTTTGCGTTTTTAAAATTTACTATTATTATTATTATGCATCCAAACTTTTTTTTACATCTTCAATATAATACTTTAGTTTTAGCGTGTCCGGCAAGTTTTTGAAAAAGTAGACATGTTCTATGTGCAGCTTTGTATCTTAAATTCCATGTATTCAGCAATATAGATATATCAGAATGCTATGATCAGAGTGAGAATCAGTTATGAAGCACCCCGGGTGTACGACATGCAGTATTCTTTCAGAAGAGACTCAAGATCACAAAGGTCATCTCCTGGTAATAACCCATGATTTTGTTCCGCAGAGGTTTGGAACAAAATCCGTTTTACGCATAACATTAACCAACTTTTGTAAGGGCGAAGTTTTGTATACATTTGATATATGTTCATAATTACGTATATTTTCCACGTTTTTCCTTGTCTTACCTTTTAAAATAACTTGAAGCTCATCTCTTAATTTCCCGAATGTATTATAACTTGGCCTGTCGTCAGGAATAACATTTTTCTTGTTCCATGTGCCACAGGCATATTCAAAGAAATCGTCGCAGGGTTTGACAGTTTGGTCCATGGCATTAAGCATCCTTGCAGCTACATTAAAATACAATTCAATATTTGCAAATGCAAGTTCATTGATGGCATGCAAATTTTAAGTATTCGAAGACACGTGTTTTATATAATATATTGTCGCGCGCCAGACTCCCGCCGAGTACCCGTACTCCCTCGGAGAAGGTCTGGTGGCGATGATAAGGGATTCGGAGGTGTTTATCACGGGCGCCGAGCTGGTTTGGTGCTTCAGCTGTCACTGAGCTAGGAGATGGAAAACACAATGTAAAAAACAATCAATTACGGGATTTTAACAATCTATTCAACACTATAATTACTATAACAATCAATTTCAAAATGTCCTCAAATGCCTTTATGGCTAGTAATACAAATACAAATGTCTCTATGTATAAGTATGAGTTCAAAACACTCTGGCTCTGAGTTCGTCCGTCTCTACTCTACTTTGCCATACTCTGCTTTCTGCTCTGCTTGTCTGCTCTGTTCTCTGATATACTCGGCTCTGCTCTCTGCTTGAAAAGAGCTCTCCCTCTTGAGCTATCTCGTCTTTGGGAAGGAGCCCTGGCTCCGGAAGTAACCTCTGCTTCGGGAGTCTCCTTGTCACGGGAGTAACCACCCTCAAACTCTCCTCAAAAGAGTGCTTTCACTCTTTGAGCTACACTGTCTCTTGGACGGGGTTCAGGCTCCGAGAGTAACCTCTGCTCTTGGAGTCACCACTTCTCAGGATATACCTCTCTACAACCTCTGCTCAATTCACTCTTGAGCTACACTGTCTCTTGGAAGGGGTCCAGGCTCCGAGAGTAACCTCTGCTCTTGGAGTCGTCACTTCTCAGGAGAAACCTCTGCTCTCCAACGAGATCCACACACTGGGAGTACCTCAGCTCCGGGAATCGCCTCGTCTCAGGAGTAACCTCTACTCTTGAACGAGATCCACACACTGCTAGTACCTCAGCCCCGGGAATCGCCTCGTCTCAGGAGTAACCTCTACTCAAAGAGTGCTCTCACTCAATGAGCTATACTGTCTCCAAAGAGTAACTTCTACTCAAAGAGTGCTCTCACTCAATGAGCTACACTGTCTCCAAAGAGTAACCTCTGCTCTCGGAGTCACCGCTTCGCAGGAGCAACCTCATTACAACCTCTGTAGAGAATAACAACTCTAGAATGTCGATCAAAGGATGAGATTAGACAGAGCTGTTATCTCTCGCCTTGGAGCACCTCAGTTCCAGTAATGTAACCTTGGCTCCGATGAGAGTAAACCTTCCTCAACATACAACCCTGGGTGAGAGTCAGATCGCCTCGACAAAGTAGGAGCATTTATAACTTGGAGGGGTAATGACTAGGAGCCACCAATACTCAGAGCAGAATGACTCACGAATATCGATCAAAGAAATGAGATTAGACAGAGCCAAATAAACTCAGAGAATCTGGAGCTCAAAACTTATCAAAATGACGTCACTTCCTTAAAAATCAAAGATGGCCGACCGCCGGGAATTGTGGGAACAAGAAAGCAAGGTGGCGGACAGCTAATTACCCATTTTATGCCAACCTCAATCAAGAAAATGGCTAACTCACCAAAACAATGACTGTTGTCTTGTATTTTCTTCAATAGTCGCACCAAGTACAATCTGCATCTAACGATTACTGCAACTAATCCAATATATCCAAAATAATGCTCCAATAAGTCCACAGATTAAATAAAACACGCTTGCACATAAATAAATCCAAACTGACGAGGTCTTGTATCTTCAAGTTCTTGGTTTACTCTGATTCACGTGGTTAATTGCAAACAATAAAATCCAGACACCTCAAGTTGCATCATGGGAAAACTACAACTTAAGTTGGAGGGAAATTCAAATAAAAGAATCTGATTGGCTGATCACCGGTTGCTGGGTACTTAATTATTCTAATTTATTCCACTACAGTCTGCTGATCAGTAAACATCCCAGTGCCTACGTGACATTCTGCATGTACACATTTGAGCCATCAAACTCTCTGAAAGAGTCGACTGACTCCACATATAAAAGTTCAAAATAAAACAAAAATGAAACTCACAATTTTGTCACACTCCCTCCTCCCAGGATGGATCGCCCTCGATCCAACAAGGAAGATATAACGTACATGTTTCTAACTAACAATAGAGCTAAAAATCTCAAACTTGAGACTTCAAAACATGAACAATACAACTCACGATTAATATAACCCATTATCTCTAAAACAATCAACGATCATAGTCGAAAATGTCTCTTTATGATCACACAGCATTAATCACGAATGTCTGCTGGTGCAGACACAACACAACTGTAATTCTTTAGGTATGTCGGAATCTGTCTTCTCCTTGTGGGGCGAGGAGGTATCTTCTCTTTGGATGACTGTTGGAGTCCACTCTTCTCATTGTCGTCCATAGAGCTATCCTCACTCTTTCTGGGTAACTCTTCTCTGAAGCTTGATTTAGACTCAACAACTTTCCCCTTGTTGGCTTTCTTCCTTCTCACTTTGGGTTTTACCTTCTTTGGGGAAGGAGAGCTCAAACTCTCAGAGTCCATCTTTCTCTTTCTCAGGCTCGGGGTTTCATCTTCTATTCTTTTCAAATCAGTCAAGGGTTGCTCTGGTAATGAAGCACATTCTGGTTCTTCATCAGCCGATATCCATCGGGACCAGGTAGCAGGTAGTTTGCACTCAAATGGTTTCAGAAGATTCTGGTGAACCACTTTTGGCTTCCCTGTCTTCTTCTCCTTGATTCTGTAAATCACTGGAGAGAGTCGACCCACTATCTGGTATGGCCCTTTCCATCTTGGTTGTAACTTTGGGGACTTGCCAACTCTTCTCTGCTTATTCCGCAACCACACAGGATCCCCAAGTTGGTATTCTCTCTGATCGGCAGATCTGTTATACCTGCTCTTCTGCCTTTCTGAAGCTAAGTCCAGTTGTGTTCTTGCCCGCTCATGTACAACCTCCATCCTCTGTCTCAAGGATAAAGCATAGTCAGTCTCTAAGGGAGGGAGTACAGGGGTCTCAATCATCTGCTCCATAGGAGCACACATCTCTCTTCCAACCATCATCATGCTTGGAGTTTCTCCTGTTGCCTCATCTATTCGCTCTAAGGTCCATTCAGCTTTCAAGGAAACTGTTAGAACAACATCATCCAGAGTATCGTCTGCCTCTGTGGTAACACACTGTCCATTACAGTGACTGCACTGTTTACAGGGAACTCTGGACATCAAGTCTGCGTTCTGATGCTTCTCACCAGGACGGTATTCCACCTCATACTGGAACTCTTGAAGACTCTGGATCCACCGCGCCAGCTGACCCTCGGGCTCCTTAAAGTTCACAAGCCATCTGAGTGAACTGTGATCAGTCCTCAAGCGGAAACGTACACCATAGAGGTATTGTTTAAAATACTTGGTGTAATTCACTACCGCTAACAGCTCTCTCCGCGTAACACAGTAATTCCTCTCCTGTCTGTTTAACCTCTTACTCGCATAATAGAGCACTTTTTCCTCCCCATCTTGCTCTTGAGACAGGACAGCTCCTATAGCTTCAAGGCTCGCATCGGTGTCTAAGATGTATGTACAGCCGTTCTGTGGATAACCCATGATAGGTGCAGTTACCAAACGCTGCTTGAGTTCATCCATCGCCTTCTGGCAATCATGAGTCCAAATGAAGACTGCATTCTTCTTCGTCAAGTCATGAAGCGGTCCAGCTATGTGGGCAAAATCTTTGATGTGACGGCGATAGTAGGATACCCCTCCCAGGAACTGACGTACCTGCTTCAATGTATTAGGAATGGGGTACTGCAGGATTTGCTCTACCTTTGCAGGATTGGGAGTAACTCCGTCTCTTGAAACAACATGTCCAAGGAACTCCACTTGTCTCCGGAATAAGGAGCACTTAGAGGGCTTCAACCTGAGTCCAGCTTCTCTGAATCTCCCAAATATCTCCTGCAGGCGCTCCACAGCAACTTCAAACTTGTCTGCATATGTAATGACGTCATCTAAGTAGACTAAGGAGGTCCGGAGAGTGAGTCCATGTAGCACCTTCTCCATCAGTCTTGAAAATGTAGAGGGAGCTCCTGTCAACCCAAATGGCATCACAACCCATTGATACTGCCCTCCTCGCACGGAGAATGCAGTCTTCTCCCTATCAGCTGGGTCCACCTCCAGTTGCCAATAACCAGAACAGAGATCCAGACTGGAGAAATAATCACAGGCTCCCATCAAATCAAGTGTCTCTGCTATGTTTGGTATCGGAAAGGCATCCTTCTTGGTTACACTGTTCAATTTCCGATAGTCGACACATAGGCGCCATGTCCCATCTTTCTTCTTAACAAGAACAATTGGGGAAGACCATGGGCTCTGGCTATCTTCAATCACGCCTCTCTTTAGAAGGTCTTGGATTTGGGAGTCAACTTCCTCCTGGCGTCCTGGGGCCAATCTCCTATAGGACTGCTTTATCGGCTGAGCATCTCCAGTTGGTATACTGTGACGTGCCCAGGTTGTTCTTCCCAAATCTCCATCAGTAGCAGCAAACACATCTTGGTAAGAGTAAAGAAGTCTCTTCACTGCTTCCTTTTGGTGTTCCTGCAATCCTTCAGTGCTTCTCTGCATCAAATCTTGTAAATATTCCGGGAGCTTTATCTCTTCATGAGCATCTGGTGCTCGACTCTCAAGAGCTGCTCCTCGCATTTCATCTTCGGATTTCACATCCAGTATACATGGTTCATCTCCCATTACTCTACTGGGTAAAGAGTGGTCTAGAGACTCATCCCTCCATGTAACCTGGTTTACTCCTCTGGTCTGCTCTGGCATGGTATACACTCCAGCTATGGAAGATATAAAATGGCCTATCAGTCGTCCTTCTCCAACATATAAGGGTAGTGGTGAGTCATTCCACACTTCGGCAGAACTCAGGCCATTCTCTGTATGAATTAATCCACTCACCAATTCCAAGTCTCGTGTAGTCCATTTAGGAGCTTGTTCCAGCACTCCATCCAGGTTAGAGTCTTCTGCTCCTTCTACTCTCAATGTCAC